GATGCTCTCAAGCTCCGGTGTCCGCGGGGTCCAGGGCCAGGGACTCAGGGCAGGGGACAGTCAGGGGTGGACAGTCAGGGAGGAAGGAGGAAGCACTCAGGCAGGCGGCGGGAAGGGCAGGGGATGTGGAGGGTCGCTCCCCTCTCCCATCTCTCTCCCCACCTAGACCCCAGCCCTGTCCATGCCATCTCTGCCCTGCATCCTGCTGTCCGCCCCCAGGTCTCCTGAAGGGGTGCTGTGCTCAGGGGCTGTGAGTGCGTGTGTGCCTGTGTGTGCGCGCGCACGTTCGCTTGCGCTCAGCTCCGTGGGAGTGGGAGCCGCAGCGGGAGCGGGTCCCCATGGCAGCAATGGCTGCTCACACTGGGGCGGGGCGGGGGGGGGGGCACAGCACCCCGGGGTCCGCCGCCTCATCTCACCTCGGAGACCCACCCGGCCCTCCACGGCGCTGTGACCCTGCCCTCTGACCCTGAGAAGCAGGGATCGAGAGTAGCCCCCTCTCCCCAGGACACCCCAAAACCTAGATGGGGGAGAATCCGCGCCTCTCCAGCAGGTCCAGCCCGGGGAGGGGCGCAGGTGGGGATGACCTGGGGAAGCCCCCTGAGGAGGGAACTCTAGGGGCGGCGGGGTTCCGACGGAGGGATGAGTCCCTGGGAGGGTCAGCAAGGGGAGGGGGCTGGAAAAGGGAGGGAGACTCGGGGACTGGGGAGCAGGGGACTCCAGAGCTGGGGTGGGCCAGAGAGGGGCGGGGCGGGCGGAGGGCACCCGGGATGGGGCAATCCCCGGAGAGGGTCCTGGGACCATCCTGGCGGGAGGGCCCCCAGGGTCCCTCTCCGGGAGTGGACCCCAGGGGCAGTGATGACAGAGACCAAGGGGCTGGCCCTGGCTGGCGGGCGCGTGTGCGCGCGGCTTCCCAGGGTCGCAGGGTCCCCATCATCCTAACCAGGCCTGGGGGCGGGGGCGGCCTGGGGAGGCAGGGCTCTGCCCTTTCCGGTAGGAGTCCCGCCGTCGCTGGCCCCCGCTGGCCCCCTGCCCACCCGTCCTCCCGCCCCGCCGCCCCGGCCCCTGCGCTCGGTAACGGCTTTCCCGGAGCCAGATCCGACAGCGGCCGCCCCCGCCTGGCTCCCCGGGCTCCCGGCAGGAGGCGGCCCCTCCCGCCCCGCCCAGCTCGGTCCCAGACAATGCGGGGGCGCCGTCCCTTAGGGCCGCTGCTGCAATTTGGTCTAATTCCGCCGGAGACCGCGAGGCCGCTCGGAACAGCGCCCCGGGCGGCTTTGTCTCCCCGCCCCCACCTGCCACCCGGTCCCCTCGGCTCGAGAGCGCCCCTTCCCCCAGCCTGGGCAAGGGAGGACAGAGCACGACACCCCACCCCCACCCCGCCCCCGCTCAGTCTGCCGTCCCGGGAGCGGTCAGTGTTGGGTCCCCAGGACGCGGCGTCCAGCCGGCCAGAGGGCCCGGGGCTGCCTCAAATCAGGCTTCAGCCTCCCGGCGCCAGAGCCCTCGGTCTCCCGAGGTGGGGTGGGACCTCGGGCAGAGGGGACCCTGAGGAGCGCCAGGGAGCCAGGCCGTGGTCAGAAGGGCCTCTGGGGACCTCTCCCCCTGGAGATGGCCGCATCCTCCCTGGAGGGGCGTCTGCTTCTACACAATCCCCAGGTGCTGAAATTCTTTTCTGTCACACGAGCCAAGGACCCCATTGAGCCTGAGTCCCCCGCTTTCTGCAGGAACTCCACCTTCTCCTGGGCCACCTCTTCTCCAGTGAAGCTGGCTGTCTCCTCACTGTGCCCCAGAATTCACGGTTGGGGACAGTGATGAGGGCTGGGACTGTTCAGGGTGCTGGGTCAGGGTCCTGGCAGGACCCAGCAGGCCTCCTCCTGACCTGCAGGTGGGTGAGGAAACCTGCACGAAGCCCCTTCAAGCCCCCAACAGGGGCCCTTTCCTTCCTGGGCGGGCAGGGGGCGGGTAGATCTTGAGATAATGGCTTCCTGGGCGGACTCCCTCCCCTCAGTCCTGGGGACCCTGGGGCCAAGTTATTCTCTGGGGCGGTGTTCTGGGCACTGCAGGGTGCTGAGCAGTGTCCCTGGCCTCCACCCCTCCAGGCCAGCAGCACCCACCATCCATCCCATGCACCCTACAGTGTGACACCCACACCAGCCGCCCATCCAGTCGGGGAACAGAGGGCACAGCGGCCCCAGCCGAGGCTCACTGGGGTCAAGTGACAGTGGCGTGAGCTCTGCCCTGCAGGGAACTGGGCTTGTCTTTGGGCTCCACGTGGACGCTCCTGCTGGGGGGCTGGTTTTCTCACCAGTGAAATGGGCGTGAAGAGCATCGTGCTCCCTCAAGGTGGCTGTGAGGACTGATGAACTAAGGCACAGGAGGGACTGAGCACGATCACAGGGACACACTCTCTCAAGTGGCGACTGTTTCCCTGCAGCAAGTTGTGTCTTGCACAGGTGGGGATCAGGTGCCCAGCAAGGCATGGGTCTGAGCAGTGCAGTCGAGTCCACCCCACTCAGATGGCCCCAGGGGAGCCGGGGTGGGACACCAGGAGGAGCGGGCCACTGGTCTTCCTGAGTCCCTCTGCCTTATGTGACATCCAGGTTGGGGTTTCTCAGCCTCGGCACAGTGGACGTCTGAGAGCAGGTCCTTCACTGTGGTGGGGACCCCCTGCACACTCCAGGCTCTTGATCACTACCCGGGCCTCTGCCCACTAGATGGGTGCTCATGGCACATCCTACCCGCGTCCAGTTCTGACAGCCGCAATGTCAGCAGACGTCCCCCGTTGGTCCCCGGGGACCCTCCCATGAGCCACCTGGCCTGGGGCTAGGGGTGTGCGCAGCATGGGCAGGGCGCTGGGTTCCACCCCAGCAACACGCGGAAGAAGGACAGGGGGGACAGCGGAGCTGTGACCATCGGGGAGGGGGCTGGGATGAGCAGAGAAAGGACCGACCTCAGCGTGGCCGGGGGCCAGGTGCGCCCTCCCGAGGCAGCCTTGCTGCAGTGCCCGCCAACACGTGAGGAAACCCGGCCTGCCATGCCACCGCGGGTGCCCGTGGCGCTGCGGGAAGGTGGGTGCGCGCACTGGCTCCTGGCAGGAGCTCCGGTGCTGCGGGGGGGGGGGGCAGGCTGGCACCGAGGATTGCATCCCGAGGGCTCCACCTCAGCAGCGGGTTGGCCACGCGTGGCTGAGTGGGCTCCTGGAGGCCGTGGGAGCCCGGGCGGGCGGCGCTGCTGGAGGAAGGGCGGGGCAGGTGTGCCCTCTGGGACTGGGTCTGGTCCCCAGCTTCTCTCTGGGCTTCCCCACTGCCCTGAGCTGACAGCTCTCCTCTGTGTGGCTTCTGGAGACTGGGTGCCGTCTCACCTCAGGCCCGGAGCCACCGAGTCCACTGATCCCTGGCTGAGACCTGTGGAATGTGAGCACAAACAAGTCTTTCCTCCTCCGTTGGCCTCAGGTGCTTGGCGTGGTGATGAGGAGCTGCCCGGCACAGGCACCTGCTGCCCAGGAGCCTACTGTATTTGCTCCTCCCAACGCCCCCAAGGACACCGCACTGTGGTCTCATTATAAGATGAGGAAGTTGAGGCTCAGAGAGGGAGACTCATCTGCCCCATGTCACACAGCAAGGATACACTTAGCACAGTGCCAGAGAGAGAGAGAGAGAGACCCAGTACAAGGAAATTTCCAGCAGAATCTGTAGTGGGTGGGCAGATGGGGATAGGAAGAGAGTCCTTGCGACCCGTCTCGGCTACATTTAGTCTCTGCATGGGTGGCTATTTGTGCAGAGCTAAGAATATCCAGAACCACACGACGTGGCCTTGAGATGCCGGAGCTGGAGGTGCAGGGAGCAGGGAGCCAGCCGGAGGGGAGTCCTGCCTGCCCTCCCGCGCCCCCTTCTTCATCTCCTGTTCTTTGGTCCCCATGACAAAAATAACAAGCCCACTTTGTGGCCACGTCCCCGCCGTCCCCTGGAGCAGGCGGGCCCTGTGTTGGCAGGCACCCCCTTGGCCGCGGGAGACGGCTGCCTCCTGGTTCGGGCGCAGCACTCTGCCCACAGTGACAAGGCGCCTGGGCCTCAGACGCAGGGAGGGGGTTTGAGTGTTCACCAACAGAGAAGACCAGTGTCCTCGGGTTTAGCCAGATTTAAGTGTCACACGACACACAGGGCGCTGACATCCCACGGCAGTTTTTAGTTTTTATGCAGCAGTTAAAAAAACACTTGGGGCTGGGGTGCAGCTCCGCGGTGGAGCGCTGCCTCGCACGTGGGGGGCCCTGGTCGTCCCCAGCACCCCCTCCCACCGCGCACGTCCACCAAAGTCTTCAAAAGAACAAGGGCATCCCAGGAGTGCGGGTTGGAAGCCCCACTCCCCGAGGGAATCCTCTGCCCTTGGTGCTCCAGGCTGCAGAACGCCATTGGTAGCCTCGCTTCAGCACTTCAGGGTGGGAGTGGACAGGAGGAGCCTCAGAGCACCCCGGGCTGCGGTGACCTGCTGCTGTAGGTGGACTTAGGGACCCGAAGGCAGGAATCAGGGGTGGGCACAACGTGGCCACAGACAGAGGCCCCATTCCAATGCCCCATGGAGGGCAGCACCCGGCCAGTGGGAGGTCCCCCGGGGACTTCAGACCTTCCCCTAGCTGCCCGTCCAGGACCTGCCCCCGGTGGATCCAGAATAAAGAGACCTTCAGGTTCCCAGGCTGAGGGCACATGGTTAATGTTAACGTACCCGTGATCCCGGTGGCTTGGGAGGCTGAGGCAGGAAGATAGCAAATTTGAGGCCAGCCTCAGACCCTGACTCAAAACAAAACGAAACTGGGTGCAGTGGGCCCACACCTGTAATCCTGTATCTGGGGAGGCTGAGGCAGGAGGATCGCGAGTTCAAAGCCAGCCTCAGCAAAAGCGAGGCCCTAAGCAACTCAGACCTTGTTTCTAAGTAAGATATAAAATGGGGCTGGGACGTGGCTCAGTGGTGGAGAGTCCCTGAGTTCAACCCCTGGTGCCCCCCTCCTCCAAAAAATAAGAGCTGGGGAATGGTTAAGCGCCCCTGGGTTCAATCCCCAGCTCCAATAAATAAAAGGATCATCAGTGCCCAAATTCCTCTCTGTTGGCGCAGTGGGGTTGGCCCAAGGCTGGAGCGGGCCAGACGTAGGGGTTCATGTCTCGTCCCTCCTCTTTCTGCAGAATACAGCTCTTGAGTAACTCGCCGCTGAACCTCACTCTCCCATCCTTAAATCGGGGATGAGGGGATGACGAGGGTCCAGACCCCCTAGGTCAGTTCCCATAGATGCCTTGGGATTGACAGCCTGGCCCCTGGCCCCACGGTCCCCGTCCCACCGTTGGTCACCGACAGTAAGTATCATATTTTCTTTCTTGTAACTGACTTCTGATTGCAAGTCTGGTGTCACCCACAGAGGACGTCGGGGAGAGGACGCGGCGTTTATACTTGTCCTTACCCCTGTCGCAGGTTGTGTCTCTGAAACCACAGCTGGTTTCTGCAACGTCCAGGACGTCACCGAGGCCAGGAAGCCGCATCCCTAGCAGCGTCTCCACTTGATTCTAGCAGTTTCCATAGCTGTCTGCTCCCACGTGTCTGCCCGCCGCAGCGAGCGAAGGCAGGTCCCGCTGGGCAGCGCTCACCACTGCGCCACCTCCGCCCATCTAAACCACCGAGGAGAGGGAGAGAAGAGGTTTCGCTTTAAAGCAAGGTCAACCTACAGAAAAGGGCGGGCCACCCTCCCCAGGCTCCCACTGACCGGTCCGGGGCTGGTCTTCTCATGGCTGCTCAGACTCCGCGTTATCTTTTCGGTTACCTTGAACTTTGTCTAGTTTTGAATCACAGACTCAGAGCCGGGACATCGGTCGTTGGATCCTGGTTCTGCCATTTATAAGCTGTGTGACCTTGGACAAGTCACTTGCCCCGTCTGTCTCCTTGACCAAGTTAAAATTCCTTCTCCCTCTCCTGGATCTCCTCGGCCCTGGAAGGAGGAGGCCGCTGCTGAGGCCCGAGTGCTGGCTTCGGGGTGGGGGTGGGGGCTGACCAAGTGACAAAGGGCTCTCAGCACACAGGTCTGTGGTTGCTGGCACGTCCTTCTCAGCCACCAAAGGGGGTCTGTGCGCTCCCTCCCTTGGCTTTCCTCCCCCCAGACCCCGGCCGCAGGCTCCGGGGACAGTGGACACCAGGTGGAACAGCCCGCTGACCCTGGCCGGACATGAAGGGCCTCTTGCGGGGGAAGTGCCTGGCTGTGGTGGGCGGAGGTCTGGGACCCGAGAGCCCTGGGGAGGGGGCGGAGGCGGGATGCTGAGGCGGGAGCCTGTGCCCCTGCTGACACCTGGTGGAAAGACGGAGCTCTCCGTGCGCCCAGGGCCTCCCCAGGACACCACCCAGCCGCCCGGCAGGGGCTGACGCTGAAGTCCCTGGGCCACACGGTGGGTGGGCTGCGCCTGAGGTTCCCAGCCCAGGAAGCCCTGCGCGGGGCGGGGGCCTGGGGTGGAAGCCAGGGGCGCGTGCGTGCTGAGCACTAGCGACCCAGACCCCAGAAGCCATTTTGAAGGATGTTTCTCTGTTTTGATTGTTGGCAGCTAGGTGAGCCCCGCAGGCCCCGGGAGGGACAGGGAGGCTCCTCCCCCAGTGACCTCCCCCCAGCAGGAAGCCCACCTGTCCCCCACCCGGACCTGCTCGCCTCTGAACAGTGTTTACTGAGCACTCACAGAGGGAGCAGGGAAGCCAACCCGCTCAGCAAACAGGAGAGCCCCAAACCCCTGTGCATGGCGCCCAAAGCCCAGGAGCATCAGCCAGCTGATCGACTCGCGGACTATCCCAAAGATTAGTGAAGCAACAGGGGGAAGCCGCGGGGACAGAGTCTGAGCGCCAAGGTGGGAAGGAGAGGTTTAAAAGTAATCAGGGGCTGGTATCGTGGCTCAGTGGTAGCACGCTTGCGTGGCATGCATGAGGCACTGGGTTCGATTCTCAGCACCACATACAAAGAAATAAAATAAAGGTCCATCAACAACTTTAAAATATTAAAAGAAATTTAAAAAAAAAAGTAATCAGGGTCAGGGAAGGTCCCTCTGAGGAGGTGACGGTGACACCAAGACTTAAAGGCAGAAAGGAAGAAGCCACCCTTGGAAAGACCTGGCAGAAACCAGAGGGTACAGCTGTGCAAAGGCCCTGGGGCAGCCCAGCGTTGCAGGAGCACCACCCTGTGTGGATGGAGCTGGGTGAGGAGAGGGAGACAGGGAGGAGGGGGTGGGCCGAGGGCAGCACCTGGGCTTTGACCCAGGGGAGGTGGGAGCCACCTGCTGTGGGCAGAGAAGGGAGCAGACATTGGGGAAGCTGGACGTGAATCTAGAGCCGGGAGAAGCAGAGAGCATGAGGCTGCCTGAGAGGGTGAGCAGGGAAGAGGGGCCGTCCCTGGCCCCCAAGGAAAGAGGGGGCTGGCCGGTGGCCCACGCCTGCAATCCAGCATCTCCAGAGGCTGAGGCAGGAGGATCTGAGGAGCCTCAGCAGAAGCAACTCCGTGAGACCCCGTCTCTAAAAAAATCAATACACACAGGGCTGGGGGGTGGCTCAGCCCGCCACGGGAGGAGGTGGCTGAGGGCCACGGGAGGAGGTGGCTGAGGCGGGAGCCGCAGCACGTGTTCAAAGTGTGGCCCCAGGAGCCAAGAACAGGGGGCTGGCTCAGGAACTGCAGTGCACAGTGGCCCGTCCCTCTCCTGGGAACTGGGTCACAGTCTCCCTCCAGAGCCTCAGAGCTGGCCCCAGGTCCCTGGAACGTGACCTCTTTGCACGGATCTTTACCGAGGCCACCGGGCTGAGGCCGCCTGAGGACCGCCCCCATCCAGTCCGACTGGCGACCTTACGAAAAGGGGGATCTGGACGCACCGACGTGCAGAGAGGCCAGAAGAGACCCAGGGGAGAGGCAGTGACAGTCTCCCCAGCCCGCGGGGACCTGCCGCGGCCACGCCCTGATTTGGGGCTCCAGGCTGCGGGATGGTGATGGAGCTTCTGCCCTCGGGCCACCCGCCCGGGGCTCCGTCGGGCAGACGGCCGCCCCTCCCTCAGCCGGCTCCTCACTTTCCGCCCTGGTCTCCTCCAGGCAGCCGAGCGCCACCGCAGGTCGGCTGCTGTCCTGGGAACTGCCACTTCCGCCCCCCTCCCGCTCCTGGACATCCTCGCTCCTCCTGCCTCTGGCCACTGCCAGTCCCTCTGCTCCCGCCACGCTGGCAGCCCCGGGCCACTTTCGGGTCCCCTCTGTCCCTCTCCTGGAGCAACCTCCTCTCCCTCGGACCAAGCTCGGCCCGGCAGACCCACGCGCCTCTCGGCCGCTCGCCCAGCGCAGGGGATCCCCGCAGTCGCTTCCCGGTACCGGCGCAGCCCCCTCCTTCCCCAGACCCAGCCCGGGCGCAGTTGGGGACAGTTTCACGTGACAGGGCGCCCATGCGAGGTGCTGCACCCACTCCCGCGGTAGAATTCAGGGGGTTGGTGGATTCACGTGGCGCTTAGCTGTGCTCTCATCTCCCCCCACACCCACCCCAGGCCGGCGCCTGGCACCCTGAACTCCCAGCAGCTTGGGAGGCTGAGGCAGGAGGATCTCGCGTTCAAAGCCAGCCTCAGCAAGAGGGCGCTGAGCCACTCTGGCAGACCTGTCTCAAACACAAAACAGGGCTGGGGGTGGCTCAGCGTCAAGTGCCCCTGGGTTCAGTTCCTGGTAGGGGGCCAGCAGTCCTGGCCCCTCCTGCCCGCCCTGGGAACCCCCGGTGCACCAGGCTTTGCGCGTTCTTGACCTTTCGTTAGGATGGGATGGGACATGTGACCTTAACGGCTGGCTTCCCTCACCTGTACAAAACGAGTGGTTTCCAGCCCAGGGTGGTGGCGGGACCTGTAGTGCCAAGCTGCGTAGGGGGACCCGAGTTCAAAGCCGGCCTGGGCAACAAAGCAGGACCCTCAAACAGACAGACAGACAAGCACACAGCCAGTCTTGAGCTTCCCCACCTCGTGCGCCGGCTCCCTGGGGCTCTCTGTGTCCTGTTGGAAGAAACGCTCTTGTCCCTCCATTCCCCACCCGAGGACACTGGGGACCTCGTAGGGCCCTGCAGTTCCTCAGGCAGATGCTGAGCCGGGGCGTGGCTGGGCCACACGCGCACAGTGACTCCGCGCTGCACCTCAGGAAGGACCTGTCTCCCGGCGTCTCTCCAGCGTGGTCGTCCACTGGACCTTCCTAGCAGCACGCGCAGGGGCTGCACAGGCGGGAGCTGAGCTGCTCTTCCTCGGCCTCCTTTCGGATGACAACCTCCTGCTCTTGCCTCTGCGGATCCCCCATCCCGCCTCCTTCCCAGCCAACCTCCCAGGAGGCTTCCTGCTCCCTCTCCCCCTCCTCTTCTGCCTCTTTCTCTCTCACTCACTGGCAGGGTGGGGTGGAACGCAGGGTCTCTCCCATGCTAAAGCACCCTACCGCTAAACCAGAACCCACTCCTTTACTTTTTATTTTGAGACACGGTCTGGCTAAGTTGCAGAGGCTGGCTTCAAACTTGCCATCCTCCTGCCTCAGCCTCCCAAGCACTAGGTAGCTTCTTAAACTCACCCTATCAGAGCGGCCTCAAGAGCTTCCAGACTTTCCAATGCTGTCTTAACGGATCAAGAGGAGAACTCTTGCCTCGACCTTCTGCCAGGAGCCACGGAACTTGAGGCTTCCAGGGAGCCCCGTCCTTCCCGGTCAGCGCCAGCCTCCCTGCTCTGCACAGTTCAGCTGTGGCCTTCTTTGGCTGTGCGGACCCCTGCCCTAGAGCCTGTGCTTTCCCTGAGGGCCTTCTGTTTGGCCCCTGGAAGGCAGCAAGCTCCGGAGGGAGGAGCTGCGTCGCCCCACTCAGTGTGTACCCTCCACCCAGCCTAGTGCCCGGCACACAGGAAGCCGTCAGTAAATGCTTGTTATCCAGAGAAAAAGAAACGGATGCCTGCAACATACGCAGCCCTCAACAAGGATGTTAGGGAAGAATGTGTAAGTGGGGACACTGATGTCACCGAGGAAAAAAGAAGAATGAACCCCAAGGACTCAGAAGACTGACGCAGGGGACTGTATTCGAGGCCAGCCTGCACAACTAGCTGACCCCTGTTTCAAAATGAAAAAGACGGGCTGGGGGCCCGCGGCGGAGAATGGCCAAGGGTGCAGGAGGCCCTGGCTCCCCCCAGGACTGCAGGACACACCCAGCAGTTTCTAAAAAGAGAGAAGCGAGAAACAAAACTGCTTACAGGGTGCCGAGGGGTGTTGGTAGAGGAAGGCTCACCCCACCCCGGGGTCCACTCACCCCACCCAGGGTCCACTCACCCCACCCAGGGTCCACTCACTCACCCCAGGGTCCGCGCCCTCCTCCCGTGGTCTAAAGGACTTGGCAGGTGGCATTAAGGAGGGTTCCGGGAGGAAAGACCATCTGGGATCATCTCGGTGTGCCTGCTGGAGTCGCAGGGGTCACTATACGAGGGTCAACGTCAAAGATGTGGAAGGGGCACGGCCTGGTGATGGCAGCGGGAAGGGCGTGGCTCCGGCAGCGGCCGCCCCCCGGTTTCGGCGCCGGGGATCTGACCGGGGAGGGCTCTCGCCGAGGGGTCCCCAGCCCGGGCTCAGCGAAGGCCCCCGCCCCCCTGCCTCCCGGCTCCCGCCCAGGGGCGTCCGAGGCTCACGACGTGCTGGCCCCTGCCAGGGGGGGTCGGGCCGCGAGCGTGAGGGCCCCCGCGCGGGGTCCCGCGACCGGCCGCGTCTTCGGGGTGGGGCGCCGCGGGGGCGCGGCCGGCGGGCGGCTCGGTGCGGCTGCGCGGGCCCCGCGGACAGCGCTCGGCGGGCGTGGCCGGTCCTCCAGGTCGCCCTGCAGTCCGGCTGGCGTGGAAGCATGTTGCACCCTAAAGGTATCGTCGCGGCCTCGGGGGGCTTCGGCCCCCAGGGCCAGCACCTCGCCCTGGCCCCGGCCCAGGTGGGAGAGGCGAGGCCCAGCCATTGCTGACCCTTCTCTCGCCCCCTCAAGGGAAGCCGAGGACAGCGGCGAGCGGCCGGCATTTTCACAAGTCAGCGCTGCTGATGAGCCACAGGGACAGCCTCGTAAGTCGCCTTCTGGCCTCGCTTCTCGATTTGTTTTTTCCTTCCAAATTCCCTGCACTTACAGCGCGTGTACACACACACACACACACGCACACACACGCACACACAGTGCACACGCACACGCACAGACGCGCTCACGCGCGCACACACAAGCACACACAGTTGCATGCACACACGCACACACGCACACACACATACGCGCGCACACACACGCACACACAGTGCACTCACACACGCACACACACGCGTACACAGTGCACACACTCACATGCACACACGTACACAGTGCACACACGTACATACGCACACACGTACACGCACACACGTACACGCACACACATGCACACAGTGCACACACGTACACACCCCCGCGCGCACACACACACACGCACACACAATTGTTTTCAGAGAGTGCCTTAAGAAGATGATTGAGCTGAAGCAAGACAGGGAATCTCCACCGAAACTTAAACGAATTTTTAAGGATAAATTGCATGAACGACAAACCAATGACAGGGAGGTGTGGCTTCTGGACGGTCTGGTGAGTCATTTGTTTGTGTGTTGAATTGTGTCAATGGAGCGGAAGTCAACCGCTAGCAAACATTGAGCACAACAGGGGTTACAATGTAACGGGCTGTGCAACCTTCGAGTTACATTATTACAGTGCAAGGAAGGCCGTCCCCGCCGGTTTCCGTAGTGTAGCGGTTATCACGTTCGCCTCACACGCGAAAGGTCCCCGGTTCGATCCCGGGCGGAAACAATTGTGCCTTTTTTTTTCCTGGTTTTGTATGACCTTTTCACTTTATTATAGAGTATATTTTTCAAAAGTTTCAAAATTCCTATAACAGTAATTACTGCTTCACTTGTTTTTATTTCTAGACTCTTAAGAATATTTATGGAATTTAAAAAGTGATCCCAAGGTCATTAAACAGAAAACCTGGGTCTTGGGCTATTGGAGAATTGAGACTTAGAGGCAAAATTCATTGCTGCGTTGGCCGGGAATCGAACCCGGGTCAACTGCTTGGAAGGCAGCTATGCTAACCACTATACCACCAACGCGCCGGCGATGAGAGGTTTCCAGGCACCCCTGAAAAGCAACTTTGGCGGCCCCGGCCGTACCACCCGCACGGGGGCGTCTCTCCCCAGCTCCTGGCAGGTCGGTCTATTAGAGCTCCCCCCGGCGCCCGAGAGCGGTGGTGCGGCCGAGCGCTGTCCAATCGCGGGCCGCCGCTTGGGCAGCTCAACTTCCGGGTCAAAGGGGCCTGAGCCGGCGGGTCCCCCGTGTCCGCCGCCGCCGCTGTCCCCCGCGCCCGCCACTTCCGGGGCCGCAGTCAGGGGCATGGAGCCGCGAGCGTGAGGCGCCGCTGGCCCCAGGACGCCCTGCCCAGCCCTGCCGCCGCCCCGCGCCCCGGTGAGCAGCGCCCGTGCCCGTCCCGCCTCTCCCGTGACCCCGAACCCGCCATTGACCGGCCCCGCCTCGGCCGCGACCCCGGCCCCGCCATTGAACGGCCGCCGCGGCGCCTCCGCCCGGCCTCCCAGCGCCGCGGCCCCGCTGTCGGCCGCGCTCCGAGCCCGCGGTCGCCGCCTCGGCTTCGCCTCCGCCCCCGCCCCGGCCCCGCGCCTTCCTCCGGCCGGTCCCGCCCGCAGGGCCACCCCGTCGCCGGCCTCCCTGCCCACCTCGCCGGGGCCGCGCCCAGGTCCGCTCTCGCGGCCGCGCACCTTGACAGCGCCGCCGCCGCCGCGCAGCCCTCGGAGGTCCCGGCCCTCCGTCCGCTGCCCTCGCGAGCCCCGGGGAGACAGCGGCCGCCTCCTCGCACCCGCGTCCTGCCCGCAGCCCCTCGCCACCACCTGGCCCTAGCCAGCCCGCCTTCTCGCGGGGCCTGGGCCTGTCCAGCCGCCCTCTCTCCCCACGCAGTCTTAGGCCAGTCCTGACACGTCCCCATCAATATCGCAGCTAAGCCATCGAAGGTGACCCATGCCTTCCCCCCCACCCCTAACGCCTCCAGGGCCCTGGAGCAAGTCGCTTGCCTCAGCGGCAAGAACGAACCTGCTTTCGAGGAGCTGGGACTAAGGCCCAGGATACGTGGACTGTAGTCACCAACCCCTGTGGCCCCTGGCAGGTCTTAGGGGACTGGGCAGGGTGGGAGGACCATGCTGCGGGGCTGTGAGCACAGCTGGAATCGAGCCAGGCAGAGAGGGTTAGGCCCCCAGCCACCTCCCCTGTGGGACACCAGTGGCAGGACAGCAAGCTAGCACACAGCTGGCCTCTTCCTCAGCCTGTGTGTTAATGGCACATCTGTTCTGTCAAGGTCTGTGTCCCATGCCTGCAGCTGGAATGGAGGTTCCTTGGACCCTTTAGAAGGTCAGTTGTGCTGGGGTTGGGCAGCCAGGCAGGCTGGGGTGTGGACTGACTCTGGAACAGAGAGATAGACAGGAAGTGACTTTCTGTGGCCCTGGGGTCACTGCCCTCAGGGACCGTTGGCTGATGGCTGTAGCTTTTTGTGTATCTGCTGGAGGATTTTCTTTTATCCATTGTCCCTCTGATGCCCCTGGTGAGAGTGCTCTGGGAGGCCTCAGGGAGAGGGGGGAGAGTGCCAGTCCAGCTGGACCACATCCCGTTCAGTGCCGGCACTTGCTGTTGATTGGAGAGAATTCTGGTCTGAAATGGACTCTAGTTGAGTCTTCCCTTTGGTGTGGTTTTAAGTGACTTGATTAGTTGACAGCACTGGCCCGTCCTTGTTTTGGTGCTGTGTGTGTGATCCCCTTAGTCTTCCCAGGAGCCCCAGATGTAGGGACTGTGTAGACCCATTTTATAGCTGAGGAAATTGAGATGCAGCCAGATTAGGTGGCTTCCCCAAGGGCACACAGCCCCGAAGTGGCAGAGCTGAGGTTTGAACCCATTTCTCTCTGACACGGGCACCCTCGCTTTTCACCACTATGAATGCAGCCAGCGCCTCCTTGTGGTGACAGCGCTTCCACTGTTGCCGCCCTCCTGTGTCTAGGTGCTGGGCACCAGGTAGTTGGGGCCTGGCTCTTGTAGGCGACTGAGCCAGGGCTCTCTTTGACTTTAGACAGCGTTCAAGACAGGAGTGACTTGTGCCTTCAGCCTCAGTGTTGACAGAGTATTTCTGAGTGTCAGCCGTGGTTCCAGCTAGGGGATAGGACAGGAACGGGACAGCTGTGAGCCTGCAGCTGGGAACTGACCTCCAGAGAGAGTGGGGAGGGCTCCCTCCCCGGAGGGGGCTTCTTAGCACTGAGACATTTGGGCTGGGCTCTTCTTTGGGGTGGGGTCCTGGGCACTGCATGGTGCTAAGTAGCATCCTTGGCCCCCACCCACTCCATGCCAGGAGCTTCTTGTCCTGACAGCCACACGTGTCCACAGACATGGCCTCGTGTCTCCCCTGGGAGCAGACTCACCCCCCAGTTGAGGACCCCCCACACCAAGGAAAGGGTTGCACGTAATCGCTCCTCGAGACAGCATCTTTTTTGTTTTGTTTTGTTTTTTTAATGTTTTTTTTTTTTAAAGCCTGCACATGGTGCTCGCCTGTTGTCCCAGCAGCTTGGGAGGCTGAGGCAGGAGGATCGTGAGTTCAAAGCCAGCCTCAGCAACAGCGAGGCACTGAGCAGCTCAGTGAGACCTGTCTCTAAATAAAATACAAAATAGGGCTGGGGATGTGGCTCCGTGGTCAAGTGCTCCTGAGTTCAGGCCCCTGTACCAAAATATAGATAAGTAAAAAAAAATATTTTGTTAGTTGCAGATGGACACAGTGCCTTTATTTACTTATTTGTTTTTATGTGGTGCTGAGGGTGGAACCCACTGCCTCCCATGGGCTAGGCAAGCGCTCTGCCCCTGAGCCCCAGCCCAGCCCTGTTGGGCCAGCATTCTTGCGCAGATATGGTGATGGTGTGGCCAGGTGGCCAGTGTGGATCGAGTCTCAGAAAGGATGGCATTTGTGGTGGTTTGGGGCCTCAAGGATGAGAATGAACGTGTCACACAGCAACCATGGGAGGCCGTCCCAGCAGAGGGCCTGGCCACTGCAAGGAGTGGGGGCATCTGGTGCTTTGAGGACAGTGAGGGGATCAGCGTGTTGGGCGTCATGGTCAGGGACTGAAAGGAGGAGCCATGAAGGCCTTCAGGAGTGGCCACAGTCAGGGATTTGGGACAGGAAGTCTGCTTCTGGCCGGTGCCCCTCAAATAGCATCTTTAGAGTCGTCGGAAACACTAAGGATGTTTTCCACCAAGTTACAAAGAAAATAACAGTTCTGGTCCCAGGTCAAGGGCCTGCAGCTGGCAAGGACTCCTTGCTGGCTGGCAGAGTGCCAGGCTGGTGCGGGCATCCCACGGCGAGGCGGGGAGCTCACTCCCTGGGGTGACTGGCCAAGAAGACGCAGCTCGGGGAGGTACCGGCTTCCTCTTGCTCTTCAGGGCAGGGCCTGAAGCCACCACAGCCTGGGATTCCCCTGGCATCAGGTGTCCCCCAGCCTGGGAGGTGCTCTCTGCCCACCGTGCTGCTCATGACATGTCCTCTGCCATGCAGGCCCCACCCTCCCGAGGTCAGCGAGCAGTTAATGCGGAAGGTGAAGAAGTTGCGTCTGGACAACGAAAACTCGGAAGGCTGGAGAAGGTAAGGTGGCCTCGGGGCTCCGGATGGGCGTAGGGGGCCCCCAGATTCTCCGCAGCCCAAGGCGTTTCCCCAGACCTGCTGTGGTGTGGTCAGGTGGGTGCCCTGGGTGCTTCGGGTGCAGAGTGGCTTCCCTGGCCTTCACCCACTTGATGCCAACTTCTTGCCCAGTCACCAAGACCAAAAGTGTCCCCACACACCGATGAGCTCTGCTGGGGACAGACTCACCGGAGAGAACTGGTGGCCAGGCTGCAGGGTGGTGGAGCCTGACAGGCCTGGGCTCTGCTCCCCTCCTTTCCTGAGTGACAGGGACAGGCCTTTCAGCCTCTCAGAGCCCCTGGTTTGCCCCAGAAGTTCACTGCTCCCCGAGTCCAGCTCCCCAGCTTACCGTGCACTTCACCATGCCCTCACGGCCCAGGGGATCCCCCGCCTCAGGGCTCGGTGTGCGCTGTAGGGCCTGCGGTAGCTCCTCGCCCAGCACCTGCTCCAGGCACTGGCTCCTAGTGCGTGCAGCATGTGTCCTTTTGGGGAGCAGGAGGATAAAGGGCGGTGACTTCCCCAGATGCAAATTCTAGAAAGGGGAGCACCGGTGTCTAGAGGATAAATTCACTGGGGGTCCAGTGGCTGGTGGCAGATGACCTTCTGCATGGGCTCCGTGTCCTGTGGGCGTAGGCTGCAGGCCCGCTGAAAGCTGAAGGCCTGAGTGGGACCGAGTACAGTACTGTCCCCAGCCGCCCCACTCAGCAGGACAAAGCATGGCCTGGGCCAGTTGCTCCAGTCCCTTGGTGGCTTGTCCCCAGGGCATTGTGGTGGGACCCCACCCCCTGGCTGCCCTCCTGAGTGCCCTGCTGAGCTCTGCCTCCCTTTCTGCCTTATCGCTTTCTGGGCACCGAGAGCTGCAGCCGGTGCTTGGAGCCCACGGTTTCTTATTGCTTCTTCCCTCCTCCCTCATCGTGGCCCTCTTGGGTCTCTGGTGGACACAGGAGCAGCTGGTCCCCACCCTTGAAGCACCAGTGTAGGTGGAGGCCACAGAACTCCAGCCCCACCTTGACAGTGCCCTGCATGTTTGAAGCTATGTGCTGGTGACGGGTTGAGAAGACGCCCTGCTGGTTGGCGGGAGGAGAGTAGGTGGCCTGGGCTAAGTGGCTTGGAACACACTTCCCTCTCCCAGCTGTGTGAACGCCTCACTGGAGAGCACAGGGCAGCGTCCCTGGCTGGTGCCGTCCCTGCCTTGGCCTGGATAGCAGAGGGGCTAGTGGCAGGCTGGGCTCCAGCTAGAAGGTTCTAGTCACGTCTCGAAGATTCCTAGGCGTTCCTCCCGATGTCTCGTTTCATTTCTCAGCTCCTGGATCGTTTCTTTGCTTCCTGGGCTCTCTGCGGTGATCGGAGGCAAGATAAGGCTTGATGGTTCTTTGCTACGAAAATAAGCCATGTGATTTCTGAAGTGCTTCTGCTGGGCTCCCAGCCTGTGGGGTCCCCTTGGGGAGATCTGAAGATCGTGATGTTTTTTCCCTCCCGGGGCAAGGCTTGAACGAGGGTGGCACACCGTGGGGAGGGGATGCTAAGCCAGTCAAAGCAGTTCCCCTGGCTGGGTTTTCTGGGCTCATTGCCAGCAGCATGCGGGACCGTGTGGGTCCTGGGCCCTGCCTGTCACTGCCTGCGGCTCCCTGCTGCCCTGGAGGTGGACCGCAGTGCTGCTGTGGGCCAGAACCTCCTGTGTGTGACCCACAGCAAGGCACCCATCCGCCCAGGGCTCGGCTTGTTTGACCCAAGGGCCCTGGCCGGGCTGGCGGCCTCTGCCTGAGTCTTCAGAGCACCTAGGAGCTGCTGGACCAACCAACCGCTCCTGGCCGGAGCTGGGGCAGCGGCTGGCTCTGCTGTGCCTGGACCTCAGCCAACAGGGTTAAGCCAGGGAAGCAGTCCTCCCTGTCCTTCGTTAGGGGTCAAGCTGGCGGGAGTCGGGGGGCCTCTGGGGTCCATCTCAGCAAATGATGCTCGGAAGCCACCACCTCTGGGTGGCCTCAGCTGCCTGCCTGAGCCTCCTGCAGTGTCCACCTGCCCTGTGGGGCTGGGCCCAGGACGCCCCGGCTCCAGGACTCTCCCTGCGATGCCTGCTCGATGCCTGCTTGGTGGACGCCTTTGTCTCACGTCCTCAGCTCCGACTGGCAGTGAGCCTTTGCCCTTCCAGCCTCTGGCTCCCCTCCGCACATCCGGTGTTGCAGACCTGAGCGAGGGGACCTTCAGAGGTGCTCAGTGACACCTGCGTGTCTGTCTCCTGTGCTGGTGGCTCTGCAGGGTCTCTTCTTGGCCAGGGACGGTCTTTGGGAATCGGGCTGGACCAGGTCAGGGCCACCCTTCTGCCCTGCCTTCCCTCCTGTGAGCAGCAGCTGCAGTTTCTGTTGCTGCTGCAGGAGCCACTGCTGCCGACCCCTGCGGGTGGAGTGTGCGGGGCTGGCGCTGGGGTGCTGCCGGGGGAAGCCAGGCCGCCTCCACTGTCCTCGCCAGGCCACGCTGGGGCCTTTAGAACTGGGTCAGCTCGACTGGGTGTTTGGATTACCTTAAAACAAATATTTGCCTCTCTGGTCCAGCCCAGTCCAGCAGCATGTGCTGAGCCGGCGTGAGGGGGAGGGCCGCGGCCCCTCCAGACCTGGTGGGGGACAGTGGGGTGCCCTGTGGGAGGAGGTGCTCGTTCACTCTCACCTGAGTGACGACTGGCCGAGTTCCCTGTCACTCTCAGGAGGTCTGGGTGTCCCCTGCAGGTGACAGGCAAGCACTGCCCCGCACCCACAGGCCTGGATTCCCTGACCGAGACCGCCTCCTTGCAGCCTTCGCACGCCGGGGGCGCCAGGTCCCCCGTCAGGGCCTGGGACACAGCCAATGTGGGGGGACAGGCATGCAGCAAGTAACTACAGTGACAAATGCTTGAGGGCGGGGACAGCTAGGTGGCCTGAGAAAGTCCCAGAGATGGGATGGACGATGGCTGCAGAAGGTTTCTGAGGGCCTGCCAAGCCTCTAAGCGAGGAGATGTGTTAGAAGTTGGTCAGGCGAAGAGGAAGCAGTGCTCTAGGCAGAGGCCACAGAGGCGCAGGCCTGGGGGCCGGGGGCTGAGAAGGGGGTGGGCTGCGAGAGCCGGTGGGGCTCCGATGGCAGCCTTGAGGGCGTGGTGAAGACTGCATGCGGGTTACAGGGGTGCATTGTGTATGCTTCTTGGGGCCGGGGGTGGGCCCCAGCTCTGCCCAGCCTGGGGACTGCCTTCCCTCTGGGAGCGGGGAGCTGCGGCTGTGGGGTCCCAGGCAGAGGTGGCTCCAGCCTTTCAGCCAGGGGTGACTGCCTCGGATCCCAGAGCAGCGGGGTGGAGAGGAGGAGAACACTTTGAGACCCATTTAGGGGGACAGGGAGGTCGCACAGGGGTGGGACCTGCTGCCAAGGGGACAGTTTGAAAGCCAGACAGCCCTCCCTCCTCAGCCCGTCCACCGGTCCCTCTTTCCTCGCAGCTTGTCACTGCATTCCGAGGGAGCTGAGAGGATGTCCTGCGGGGCCCCGGTGACGGAGCGGGCCGACGCGGGTGACATGGACGACCCTGCAGCCCGCTTCCAGGTGCAGAAGCACTCGTGGGACGGGCTCCGCAGCATCATCCACGGCAGCCGCAAGTACTCGGGCCTCATTGTCAACAAGGCCCCGCACGACTTCCAGTTTGTGCAGAAGGCAGACGAGTCGGGCCCCCACTCCCACCGCCTCTACTACCTGGGTAAGCCTGCCCGGACACCGGGCTGCCCTGAACTGGCAGGCCTCAGGGCAGTTGTCACCGCGCCTGCTCAGAGGACCTGTGTTTACAAAGTGCATGTGGTGGGCCTGCTGTGGGGACATAGTCCCACAGGCCGTGGCACCCACAGATGGCACCCTGTCATTAGGAGAGCTTGGGGCAGGGGCGAGGGGAGGAGGACGCTCCCCCACGAGGGCTGGCCAGCCATGGGGCCGAGCGCTGGCCTGCCCATCTGCACTGCCAGACACTGGTGGCTCGGAGCCTGGAAATTGTTTCCACACGGTCAGCTAGGCCTCTTCCCAGGCCCCTGGCCCAGGCTGGGTGGGGCACAAGAAACAGGACAGCGCACAGAGATCCCCTGTGGGAGGTGGCGGACTTCAGTGGGAGCTCGCTCTGTAGGGATGTGTTGTGAAGGATCCTCAGGCTCACGGAGAGGCAGGTGGCTTGTGTCACCACCAGTAGTTCATGGGTGGCTTGCTGCATGTTTGCCACCCGCCTCAGATTCCTAGAAGTGGGTGCTCACGCTTGGTGGCGTCCTCTCTGGGCATGTGCCTTGTGAGCACACTTTCTCCGTCAGGCTGTCTGTCCACCAGACCCTCAGCACTGACCAGACTCGTAGTCCCCTGCAGGCAGGCCAGAGCTGCCTCCTGTAGGGGACCGGAAATACGTGTAGAATGAATGGATGTCACCCTACTTTGCCTGAAGGGCATATAAGGAGGAGGCCCTTGAAGGAATCAGCCAGGCCTGGTGGCACATGGCTGCTGACCGATGGCAGGGCTTCTCAGTCTGCCACTGTGGACACCAGGTCAGAATGCTCCGTGTGGGCAATGCCCTGGGCACTGCAAGATGCCGAGCAAAACCGCCTCCAGTTGAGAGCCACTGTCCCGGCTTCAGCAGGAGCGGGGTTATTCTCTAGGCCCATGCTCTTGACCCGGGGATCCCTGAGACCACGCCCACTCGTGCCTGGGCCTCAGTCGGTACTGGAACGAAAGAAGGAGCGAGTCACTGCCATCCTCTGCCCGAGGCTGAGCACCTGCTCGTGACAGAGACCCTGATGGACACTGGTGCAGTCCCTCAGACAGGCCTGTGGTGGGAACAGGGCCAAGAGGGGCGTGGCCAGGAGCGGGGCTCTGCAGACCTTCGCCTGAGGGCCATGGGGCTTTGAGCTGCGTCAGCACCGTGAATGGGAGATCTCGCAGCCCTAAAGCTGAGAGTTCACTACCTGGCCCTTTGCAGAGAAGCGTTTGCCAGCGCTAGTCTGGAAGTTAGGACGGGAAACCTCCAAGTGTCACTCACCCAAGAGGGAGCTGCGGAGGGTGCCCAGATCAGGGAGCTGGCGGTCCGCGACCTCCCCTGGTTTGCCGTTTGCCCCTCGGCACCCACCCCATGTGCCCATACAGTCCTGGGCCCTGGGCTTGTGCTTGTGCTCTTGCCCCTTGCTCAGGGCGCTCAGTGAGGTTCCTGCGGCTGCCCTGAGATGGTGGCCTCCCACAACTCAGTGAGAGAGTGAAAAGTCACCTCACCAGTTAGGAGGCCAGAAGTCTGTGTGGGGTTGCACAGGCTGAAACTGAGGTGTGGGGCACCGCGCTCCCTCCAGAGGCTCTAGGGGACATGTGTTCACTGCCTCTTCCAGCTTTAGTGGCTGCCAGTGTCCCTTGGCTTGTAGCCACATCTCGCTATTCTCTGCCTTCGTGGTCACATTGATTTCTTCTCTTCTGTCCTGCTGGGATTCCCTTCTGCCTCCCTCTTAAAAGGACACCTGATAGCTGGGCTCAGGAGGCTGAGGCAGGAGGATCTCGAGTTCAAAGCCAGCCTCAGCAACTTAGACCCTGAGTAACTCAGCGAGACCCTGTCTCTAAGTAAAATAAAAAGGGCTGGGATGTGGCTCGGTGGTTAAGTGCCCCTGGGTTCTATTCCTGGTACCAAAACCAAACAAACCCCAAAATAAGGACATGTGCTGACAGCAGGCCCCCCAGGATGATCCCCAGCCCACAAGCCTCCGTCTGTCCGTGGTTGCAAAACCCATTTTCACCACAAGTGAAGGCATTCATGTCTAGGCCCCAGGACGGGTACATCTGGGTTCGGGGGACACTGTTCAGCCTCCAGAGCTGCGAGAAGGGACAGAAACCCTCTGAACTGGTCCAAGCTGCAGGGGGCATCTCCTGGGGGAGATGGGATGTCTCATGGTGCCCAGGGCTCAAGGCCCAGCCGCCTCAGGAGGTGGACCAGGAGACTTTTGGAACCCAGGTATGGCACCATGTGCCTACCTCTGACCAGGCCCCTGCCACCCAGGTCTCCTGCCATGCATCCCCACAGCTCCAAGGCGCCAGTGTACCCCAGGAATGGAGGAAGGACCAGATTGGCTGAGCCCAGGTCCACTGTCCAGTCACCTGCAGCCTGTGTCCAGGTGGGCGGGACCCACAGCCTGGGGCTGCTGAGAGCCCGGCCATTGGGTGGGGCAGCTCCAGACAAGGGTGTGCTCTTAGCAGAGACCCCAGAATATACTGCGTCTGTTGGGGTGATGGCATCCTGCAGCCGACCACGTCACTCACCACCAAGCTCTCGGGCTGCCCGTGGCCCCCACGTCGATGGCATGTCTCGGTGCCAGGCCCAGTCTGCTGCCCTGAGTCATGACCTGCCTTAGGCCCAGGTTTGCCACCTGAGGCACATAGAGCTAGTCACTGGGGCCCTCCGGGAGCGCCCCTCTGTTCTGACTGGTGGAGCCCAGTGCAAACTGGGTGGCCCAGTGACAGGCGCCTTCCCACTCCTACTGCAGGAAGATGGGCAGAGAGGCCTGGGGCCTGGACTCCAGCTGTCCTCTGTGGCCAGTCCCTCACCCCATCCCACAGCATCTTCTGTTAGGAAGAGGAGGTCTTAGGGCCCTGGGCAGGTCTCGGACTCCTGTAGGAAAGAAAGCCAGGACTGGGGTCCTGTGACTAGGAAAGGTTGTCCTGCCTCTGGCCATGTGCCCTGCCAGGCCAGCCCGTGAGGCCATGCCACTCGGTGACTGGATGCAGTGTTTGCACTGTCCTGTGTCACCTGCCACGCCTGTGGGGCAGTGGGTGATGGGTGGGCAGGACTGGCAAAAGGGGAGGCACAGTGGCCACAGGGGTCAGCGGCTATCTTTAGCCCTCTCCACCTTTTGCCTTGATGCCAGGCGTCACTATGCTGGGAGGTGAGTCTTGTCCTCGGCGAGGCCTTACCTTTGACTTCCTACTGGAAGGCTCTCCTTAAGGGTCCCTGTGGGTGACTGTCCCCAGGCTGCTCTCTAGAAAACCGCCCCCAGCCCCTCCCAGCCCTTCCTGTTGCCCCGTGTGCTCTCTTACGTGTATGTGTGTGTGCACGCACATGAGTGTGTGTTTCCCCAGTACTGGGGGGGACCCGGGGATGATTGGTCCCTGAGCTTCATCTATACATTTACTCATTTATTCATTTATTGGTATCAGGGAGATTGAACCCAGGGGTGCTTAACCATTGAGTCACATCCCAAGCCCCTTTTTCCTTTTAACTTTTTTTTTTAATATTTCTTTAATTGTAGATGGACACAATATCTTTATTTTATTTATTTGTATGTGGTGCACAAGATGGAACCCAGTGCTTCACGTGTGCTAGGCAAGCGCTCTGCCACTCAGCCCCAGCCCCAGCCCCAGCCCCAGCCCCTCCTTTTAACTTTAATTTTGAGACAGGGCCTCACTAAGTTGCTGAGGCTGGCTTTGAACTCATGATCCTCCTGCCTCAGCCTCCCGAGCTGCTGGAAGGCAGGCGTGGCCACGGTGCCGGGCTTCCCCTATGTTGCTTCTTTTTGAGATCTGAGCTGTGCCTCACAGTCCCCAGCCTTGTACTTTTCAAGTTGTGGGACTTGGTGGCTCTCAGCAGTATGTTTGCAGCATCGCACACACGTCACCTCTGTCTAGTTCAGAGGGTTCTGTCATCCCAGAAGAAGCCTGTGCGCAGCACTCACCCCCATGTTCCCCCAGCCCTCCTCAGCCTCCTGTGTCTGGAGTCCCCTGCTCTGGACATTTGTGTCAGTGCAGTCACACTCCGCATGTTCTGGTCCCCACTCGCCTGGTGCTCCTGGAAAGCAGGGAATCCCCGCAGACTCAGGGCCTCGGGCCAGGCGTGATGGCGCATGGCGCACACCTGTGGTCCCAGCTATTCTGGTTGGATCACCCAGGGGTTTGGGGCAGCCTGGGCAACAAAGTAAGACCCTGTCACTTAAAATAGTTCAAGAAATAAAACTCAGGCCTTTAGAGAGCAAGTCGCTCTCCCAGGACTCAGGCCCTCCACCTTCTTCCACGCAATCGTTTCCACCCGCACACGTCTAAAGTTGACTTTGCGTTTTTCACAGGTCTCTTTTAAAAGGAAGCCCTGGAGAGGTCTCCTTATTTTTCTTTGGGTTGCTCGTCTGCCCCTAGCTGTCCTTCATAGGTGCGCCCGGGGCGCAGCCTGCCAGGATGAATGCCCTCCTCGGCGTTGAGCCCCGAGGGCCTGGCGGGCTGCCTTCTCTCCCCTCAGAACCCCGTGGGAAGGAGGAGGTCCTGAGAAGGAGGGTAGCAGCAGCCTGGGTCTTTCTGCCCAGAAACTCGAAGAACATGCAGGGCCAGAGCTGGGTTCAGTGGCGGAGTACTACCCAGTGCGGAGCCTGCCGGCTCTGTCCCCAGGACACGGGAGATAAAACAGATACTCAGAGGATGAGAAAGGAGCTCCGATGTCCTGTGATTCGTTGTTAGCTAGGGCAGGTTCACAGGCCACCGCCGGACACCCTGTGCTGTTGGAAGGTGTACACAAGGAGAAGCCCAACTTGGTGCCCAGCCTTGTGGCAGAGGTGTCCTGGATCCCACGGGGCCAGGCGGCAGGTGCACCCTCCTCCTGTGTCTGCAGGTTCCTCAGCCCCAGGTCTAGCCACATCTGTTATCCAGCTGCCACTCAGTCAGACCCTGTCTCAAAAATGAATAAAAAGGACTGGGGTGTGGCCCAGTAGGAGAGCATTCTTGGGCTTGATCCCCAGTCGACACGCAATTTTTTTTTTTTCAGAAAAAAGATTGCATCTATACTGAATGCCATTCATTTTCTTGTTATTGTTTTCTAAACAATACAACGTAACAACTGTGTACACAGCATTTATTAGGTAATCTGAGTCACCCAGAAATAACTGAAAGTCCGGGAGGGTGTGTGCAGGTGCTGTGAGTGCTGGGCTGTTGACCTGCGGGACTGGAGCATCTAGATTTTGGAATCCTGGGGGGTCCTGAGCCCAATCTCCCAAGGATACTGAGGAAAGACCTCATTTTATCTGCTTCAAAGAAGTCCTTAGTGCCTTCCACAGTAAGACCCATCCCAGCCTCAGAGACACAGCACTTGAAAAACTGATGGACTGCAGGTGACTTCGGGTGACACAGGCATTGTGTGGCTGGCTCTGTGGGCTGTACTTCATGCACCTGCACAGAAGCCTCCCTTGGCAGCCGTGTCCCTGGTCACCTACAGGAGCGTTAGATTGAACCAGTGCTTCTCCTCAGGGGAGATTCCATTCCTCAAGGAATACTGGGCACATCTGGGGACATTTGTGGCTGTCACTTGCTCTTGGCAGGGAGGGGTGGAGCCGCAGTCTGCAGAGCCCACCCCTGAGGAGGCTGCTGTCCGAGTGGTGAGAAAGGCTTTCCCTGGCTGTCACCCTGGGTGGGTTCCTTCCCAGCCTCCCCCTCGCAGAGGGGCCGTCAGGAGCCAGGTCTGGCATCCCCAGCTCCCTTCCTATTCTTCCATGGGCTATTTCTCCAGTAATTGTGGCCACCATATTCAGCTCAGATGCCTCCGAGGAGGAAGACCCTGTCGCTGAAGCGATCACACCCCAGGCCTGTGGCTCTCTGGGGAGGGGCGCTCCGTGGGACCCAGCTGCAGGGACCCGGAGCCCTCTGGAGGCCCTGCCCGCCTGCTGGGTGCTCATGCCGGCCGTTGTGCTGTGCCTGCAGGGATGCCCTACGGCAGCCGGGAGAACTCCCTCCTCTACTCGGAGATCCCCAAGAAGGTGCGCAAGGAGGCCCTGCTGCTGCTGTCCTGGAAGCAGATGCTGGACCACTTCCAGGTGGGCTGTGTCCTGCCGCAGAGCCCTGTCTTCCCAGCATGATGCCGCCCGGCCGTGTGCCACAGAGGGGCCCAGGCTGCCCAGAGCAGGCTCTGTCCTAGCTGCAGGCCTCCCTGGTGGAAGCTGTCAGATGTGGCCTTCCCAGATGTGGGGCCCGGGGCCGGTCCTGAGGGCGGTGGTGGCCCTCCATGGAGTCGGCTTGCGAGTGGGTGCAGCTCAGGTGGGGAGGGCCTCTTGTGTCCACGTTGCTTCACACGGGGCCAAGCAGAGCATGCTGCAGCTCCATGCATCCCAGAGCCTGCCTCCCTATGGCTTGTCCCCTCTTTGTCCCCAGTGCCCAGCTGAACCACTTTGCGTTCCACACAGTGCCGATGGTTCTTCTGCTTCTCCTTTATTTTACTGAGCTTTGAGGGGCTGGGGATGAAGCACAGGGCTTCTGTGCACACCTGGCACGCGCTGTACCCCTGAGCCACCCCCTGGCCCAGTCTGCTTTAAAAAAATTCATGCCTTCACTTCGGCCGCCACAGGGCCCTGGTCTGCAGGTGTCACCACGCTGTGTGCTGTGCGAGAGGGCTCCCTGCCGGGCCTGGGCCAGGCCTTCAGTGGCCAGGCTTGAATCCCTGCTCCCCCAACTCTTGCAGACGGTGTGGATATTTAGGGTTCGGGGGTTTTGATGGAATGCTCTTGGTGGGAGGGGCTGCAGGAGTGGCAGTGGGCACCAGGGAAGAGTGCCCAGTGGCTGGGACAGGATTGCCTGGAGAGACTCCGTGGCAGGGGGTTTAAGTGGCCCTCTGCCACTGCCGCGCAGTCGCTAGTGCACCAGGCCAGGCTGCCTTGCCCCTTGGGCCACAGGTCCAGGCTCTGCCCACCTGCTATGCCCAGCATGCAGAGCCCTCGCCGGCGTGGCCTTGCAGGCGGGCCCAGGCCACCAGGTTTCTGTCTGTCCCCCAGGCCACGCCCCACCACGGGGTGTACTCACGGGAGGAGGAGCTGCTGCGGGAGCGGAAGCGCCTGGGCGTCTTCGGCATCACCTCCTACGACTTCCACAGCGAGAGCGGCCTCTTCCTCTTCCAGGCCAGCAACAGCCTCTTCCACTGCCGGGACGGCGGCAAGAACGGCTTCATGGTGAGCCCCGGCCTGGCCAGGAAGGCAGGGCTGCTGGGGCCCCTCCCTCAACCGGCCTCTCTGTCCTCAGGTGTCCCCCATGAAGCCCCTGGAGATCAAGACCCAGTGCTCGGGGCCCCGGATGGACCCCAAGATCTGCCCCGCAGACCCCGCCTTCTTCTCCTTCATCAACAACAGCGACCTATGGGTGGCCAACATCGAGACGGGCGAGGAGCGGCGACTGACCTTTTGCCACAGGGGTGAGGACCTGTCGGCCCTCCTGGGACAGCAGCCTAGCAGCCTGCCACCTTCCAGACAGCCCTGCCACCGGCTCACCCCGGGCCTCGCCTCTCCCTCTCGCACACCCCAGGCACCACCTTGCCTCCCCTGGCTCTGTGCCTGCCTGGCCTGCAGCTTCCGTCTGCAGAAGGGAGCCCTCCGTGGCACCGGCCCACAGCCCAGCGGGCACTGCTGCAGCAGCCCCCACGCACGCGGGGCTCACCCTCGCTGTCCTAAGGGTCTGCACCGTGACCTGCCACGCAGGTGCCTGTGTCCCCACCCCCAGGCCCCTCTGCTGAACCCACAGGCATGGCCTCTGGAGGAGGTGCTTCTGGTGTGGAGTGGGTGCTGCCAGGGATCTCGTCAGCACCCTGCAGTGCCCTGGAGGCCCCCTGCGTCCACATGGAAAGCATGGTGTGTGAGGCCACCTGAGTGGTCTCATCTGTGGTCTCTCCCCCAGGTTTGTCCAATGTCCTGGACGACCCCAAATCTGCTGGCGTCGCCACCTTCGTCATCCAGGAGGAGTTCGACCGCTTCACAGGCTGCTGGTGGTGTCCTACGGCCACCTGGGAAGGTAGGTGCCCTGTCCGTGCACCGCCTCAGCAGGGCCTCCCAGCAGTCATGGGCCAGGGCTGCCCTTGATCTCCTTTTACCCTCGTCCCTTTTTTAAAGGCCTGGTGTCCACACACCTGTGAGTTCTGAGGTGCTGGGATTCAGTGCAGGGATTTCCGGGGTGCAGTCGGGCCTTCACACCCCACTCTGGGCCATTTTGTGCTGGGAACGGCTCTGTTTGTGTTACCATCGGGAAAGTCAGGCCCAGAGAGGAGCTGGACTGGGGTGTGTCTGGAGTGCCCTGGGTGAAGCCCCGTGGCACCACAGAGCCCGCATGCAGCAGGGATGGGTGGCAGCAGGGATGTCCCCGCACCCTTGGCAGCCTGCTGTGCCCTCAGGGTCAGAAGGCCTCAAGACGCTGCGCATACTGTATGAGGAAGTGGACGAGTCGGAGGTGGAAGTCATCCATGTCCCCTCTCCTGCCTTGGAGGAGCGGAAGACTGACTCCTACCGCTACCCCAGGACAGGCGAGTGCTGCCCCCGGGCCCCTGGGAACCAACGTGCACGGGAAGGTCCCCGTCCATCCCCGCCCGGCCTCCCCAGGCTTGTCACGGGGCTCTGGGTCAGGAGGCTGCCCCTGGGTGGGGTCGAGAGTGGAGGCCAAGCTGCTCACCCCTCAGGCTGCCCCACAGCCAGGGCTCTGCAGCAGCCATGGGAGGCCAGCACAGTGGTGCCCTGTTGGCCACCCACTCAGGAGGCCTAGCCAGGAGGATGGCTGGACCCCAGGAGTTCAAGGCCAGCCTGGGCAGCATAACAAGACCCCGTTGCTTAAAAACAAGATCCATGTTTACAGCCATCTTTTTTATAGACAGTTCAAATTTGAATTGCATGTCACCTTCCTGTCACATGGAATGCCTGTGGTCCTACATACCTGAAGTGCCGTCTGTCCTGTAGTCCTCTTTCGCCTTCAGAAAGGACATTTAGCCATTAAATCCAGGAGTCGCGGCGGGTTTTGGTCCTCTGCCAACAGGGCTGTGGGGTCCCCTCCCACGCCCCGTGGCCCCTTGGGCTGTGTCTGCCTCTGCCCTGGCCTCTTCCCTTTTTGGCCCCTTGGTAGTGCCGATGTTCTTGTTGAGCCAGGTCACCTCTAGAGCAAAACCAGGTACCTACTGGGGTGTGGCCCAGAGCCAGCTGGGAGCCCGGCTCAGGCTGCGGATGGCGGCCACCCTGGAAAGCTTTGAGGGCACCACTGCCTGCTCCTGTACCCACCTGCCCACAGCTGTGCACACGGAGCCTCTGCGCCACTTGCTCCAGTCCCACCTGGGACCGTTGGTCTCCTCCTGGCCTAACAGATAGGGAAGTGAAGGCTCCGAGACGTCACCCTGCCCTGGTTCTAGAGTGACAAGTGCCAGAGACCAAATTTGCCATCTGTCTGGGAAAGGGCAGCGTTGCCCTCTGCCATGGCCTGGCCCTTCTCCTGGGCCCTGAGCTGCGGCCCTCTGGAAGGGCCTGTCTGTCCCAGTGGTGGCCGCCTGCCTCCTGAGGGCTCGCCTGGCTGACTGGAGAAGACCCGTCCCCTGTTGCATTGTCAGGGTGTCATGGTGCCACATCCTATCCTCTTAGGCCAACTGTGACCCTTTCCCAGGGCAGGGTGCATCAGCTTGGTGGATGTCCCCCCGCCCCCCCGACACAGGGGCTGGCCTGAGCCTCTGTTTGTGTTCGGTACCACTGAGCTGCCCGATGCCCTTTTTATTTTGAGACGGGGTCTTGCTAAGTTGCCCAGGCTGGCCTTGAACTTGACATCCTCCTGCCTCAGCCTCTTGAGTTGCTGGGACGACAGGCGTGGCCACTGTGCCAGGCTGGTCTTTGCTCTTAAGCAATAGTCAGATGTCACATCCCTGTCAAGAGAATGAGCCAGGCACTAAGTCAGAAGGTTCGCCTAAGGGACTTTGTGCCTGTGCCAGGAACGGACATCTTGCGGGCAGACCTTTGGACCCTGGCTTCTCCCCACCCCTGGCCCCCACTGTGCCAGCTGTCCACCTCCCTGTGGGTGTGGCCCTGCCTCCTTGGCCCGTGCAGCAACCCTTGCGCACACTGGGGACACCCGTGTGTGCTCGGCTCACTCTCCTTCTCACAGGCAGCAAGAATCCCAAGATCGCCCTGAAGCTGGCCGAGTTCCAGACGGACGGTCAGGGCAAGGTGAGGCTGGCGCGGCCTTGGGTGGCCTCAGGATGAAGCGGGAAGGGGCTGGAAGACGGGGTGGGACCAGGGTCTGCTTGCCGCCTCCCCTGGGCTTCCAGGCCCCGAGTTGCCACTCCGGCCGGCCGCGGCCACCCTTCTCTTGGAGCTTGGGATTGCAGAGCCCACCTGTCCCCGGGCGGCTGTGCGTTCGCTGCTGTGCCAGTGCCGTGAGCGAGCGGGTGGAGGGTCCCGCGGCAGGAGCAGAAGGGCCCTGCTGTGCTGTGGTTCCACAGAGCTGACCTGCAGGTCCACACCCTTCCCTGAGCACTCAGGGAGCTCCACTGGGGGCGAGTCAGGCAGGCAGGTCCCCCCCCCAGCCCTTGGGCAGAACCCACGGGTCATTCTGTGGACCCAGGGGCTTCGTGGGATGTGCAGTGTCCTAGGACCTTCCGAAATAGCATCAGCATCGGGTGTGAGGGTCCTGTCACCCGCAGGTCATCATGTGGGGCCTCAGGACCATGCCAGGGCCAGGCACAAGGCCCCTCAGCCCAGAGCTGAGCGCCCTCCCACCCAGCCCCACCCTGCCCTGGGGTCTTCTGCGAGTCATGAGCTGCGGGCGCCCAGACACGGGGCTCCTGGAAACTCAACACCTCACGTGGGACAAAGCAGGGGCCGGAGGTGGGCACTCCAGGAGTCCAGAGGACATGCCAGGCATCCAGAGAGCTCAGACAAGCTGGGGACACTCGTGTGCTTTTGCAGAAATGAGGTCTTTCCCCAACTCGGGGCTGGTTCTCGGGCAGGATCAGGCCCTCAGCAAGCCTTGTTCACGCTCTTGCCCAGACGTGCCAGGGATTTCAGGCAGATCTGCCATGAGTGACCTCACGGGGTCCACAGGAGTCCGTTCACTTGATGGTTCTCAATGGTCACTTGCTCTCCATGACACACAGTCCTGAGGCCTGCACTGGGTGCGCCAGTTGAGCCAGGCGGTCAGCAGGCATGGCCCTGCCCCACAGGTTAGGGCTCTGGGCCGCCAGCCTCCTCCCCTCCGAGGCCTGCTTGCTCAAGGCCCCTGGATCTGCAGGAACTGCCCAGAACAGACTGCTTGGTCCCCAGAACCAGCAGGGTGCTCTGGGGGGACCCTGTCTCGGAGGCTCTGTCGAATGACTGTGGAGTCTGCTGGGACTGTTGTCCCCACTGCCACAGAATGGGCAGCTCAAAGAGCAGGCCAGAGTGAGGGTGTGGCCCCGAGGGAAAGTGTGCCAGTCTCCTGGGGTCGCAGGTGGCCATCTTCTCCTGCGACACCACAAGACGGCCCCATGGTGTGTGTCCGCCCCCTGTTTTTCCGTCATGGGTACCACGTACACTGGATCTGGCTTGGTCTGTTCAGTGTGAGCACATCCTGACTCGGGGACACCTGCCGTGACCACATCCCAGAGCAGGGAACTCGCTCTAACCCCACATGGCCGCCATCTCCTCAGGTGGTATGGGGACAGGCAGAGTGTGACCCACATCTGTCTCCCTAGATCGTGTCGGCTCGTGGGAAGGAGCTGGTGCAGCCCTTCAGCTCGCTGTTCCCCAAGGTGGAGTACATCGCCAGGGCTGGGTGGACCCGGGACGGCAAGTAGTGAGTGTCTCTGCGTCAGGTGACATGAGGGATTCAGAGTGGGGGCTGGGAACGACGGGTGGGCTGCAAAAACCACTGCTCCGACTGCCCACGGGTCTTGGGGTGATAGGACCAGGGCAGGTGACCGTGTCCTGCCCACTTGTTCCCAGAGATGCCTCCCCCAGCCTGTCAGAGGCAGGACACTCTGAGTCATTCACTCCAGTGTTGGTGGAACTAGGACATTTTGGGGGTCAGAGGTAATTGCAGGGGGCCCAAGTTCCCTAGTTGTAAGAAACACCAAATCATACCCAGACGTGGTGACGCACCTGTCATCCCAGCAGCTTGGGAGGCTGAGGCAGGAGGATCCCAAGTTCAAGCCAGCTGATCCACTTAGTGAGGCCCTAAGCAACTTAGCAAGACCCTGTCTCAAAGTAAAATAAAAAGGACTGGGATTGTGGCCCCTGGTACAGCACCCCGGGTTCCATGCTCAGTTCCAAGTCACAAAGTAGGGGCGCTCCCCTTGCTCCCCTTCCCACTTCCTGCAACCTCCACCCAGAGGCCGCGGCCAGCTCGCCGTTCCTTCAGCTGTGGGCACAGTGGCCCTGTGTGCTTCTAAGTGAGGGGGAGATGAGCCTCATCTCCTGTGAGGGGCGCGTCCCCCCGCCTGCAGTGGTGTGGCCCACACTGCCCACCCACTCCTCCCAGGTTGCTGTGGCCGTGAGCGGGCAGCAATGAAAGCTCCCACATGGCCTGCAGAGCTGGCTCTGTCCCTCTCTGTCCCTGTTCCCTGATGCTGCGGGCTTCCCCTGGTCCTTCTCGGCAGATGGCAGGCCCAGCCCGCGGGCTGCCTCCGGTCAGGCCGGGACGTCCTGTACTCTTTCCTGCCGTCCCCGAGGCCTGCGTGGAGCAGCCGCACCCCACAGGGCAGGTTTTGAGAGGTCCACTTGAGGCCGACTGGAGTGAGGTGGACCTGGGGGCTGGGCTGGCCAAGAAGGAGGCAGGCCCGTTTGTGAATGGTGCCCAAGACCCAGGGCCTAGGGCCGTTCCCTCTGGTGCTGGGGTCTGGCCGGCCGTGCCACTGAGCCCCAGCTCGGGGACTGGGCCAAGCGCAGGCCAGGGACACCAGGGAGGCGGGGCTCGGCCCACTGCTGGGGACGGCGCTGCTGCACTGCCCACGGCCTCTGAGGCCCCCGCCGCCCTCCTCTCCCCTCCCAGCGCCTGGGCCATGTTCCTGGACCGGCCGCAGCAGCGACTCCAGCTGGTCCTCCTCCCGCCTGCCCTGTTCATCCCGACCCCTGAGAGCGAAGAGCAGCGGCTGGCCTTCGCCAGAGCGGTCCCCCAGGACGTGCAGCCACACGTGGTGTACGAGGAGGTCACCAACGTCTGGATCAATGTAAGGGGGGCTGGGGCTGCGCGTGGCCTCCTGGGCGGGCCCCACGTGGAGAAGGGCTCATAGCCGGGCCGTCCCCAGCCAGCGAGGGAGTCCGGGAGGCTGGCCAGCTGCAGAGCCGGCCTCCTCTCTCCTGACGCCCCCTCTGCCACACAGGTGCACGACATCTTCTACCCCTTCCCTCAGCCTGAGGGCACCGAGGAATTCTGCTTCCTCCGAGCCAATGAGTGCAAGACTGGCTTCTGCCACCTGTACAAAGTCACCGCCATCCTCAAGTCCAACGGCTATGACTGGACCCAGCCCCTCAGCCCTGGTGAAGGTGAGCAGAGCCTGGCTCCCGGTTGTCGTGGTGGCCAGTGCCCCATCTGTCCCTGGTGGCCCTGACAGAGTGGGTCCCCAGGGCAGGCACTGGAGCAGCCTCCCGCGGGCCCTTGTGATCAGCAGGGGCCGTGACGGAAGCCGCCGCCTATTCTGCCAGCAGCATCTGTGGAGCGCTCTGTGACCAGCCCTTTCAATGACCAGGGGTGGGAACGCGGGCTGCGGGCCACGTCCCATCTGCCACTTGCTTCATAGAGTTTTATTGGCACATGGCCAGGCCCACTCGTTGGGTGGCCTGCGGCTGCTTCTGGGTCACGGGGGCAGTGTCGAGCAGCAGCGGCTCACAGAACCACAGGTGGTTGCTCTCTGGCTCCCTGTAGAAGTGGCCGGCCCCTGCTCCAGGTGCCCCCGGTACAGTCGTATGAAGAGGCAAGACGCCCCTTGGTGTTTAGAAGGTTCTAGTGGAAGATAAAGCAATAATCCAAGAACAAGGAAAGATCCTGCCTCGGGAGGAAGGCGAGTGGAGAGGCAAATGCTGCAGAGTGAGGGGCTTCTTTCTAGAAGGGGCTCAGGAGGATGTCTCCAGATGGCATGCCACCGAGCGGAGACTGGAGAGCTGATAGGCATACAGCACACTGCAGGCAGAGGGCACGGCCTGCAAAGGCCCGGGGGCAGGATAAGCCTGGTGTGTTGGAGGCACAGGGAGGAGGGGAGGCAGAGGGGACAGGGCAGCCATGCAGGGCCTTGTGGAGGACTCGGACTTGGACCCTACAGGAAGCAGGAAGTCGCTGGTCTCACTTACACGGGTGTGAAGTGAGTCCTGGTCTCCGTGGCGCAGGCCGAGGGCGAGTGAGGCGGCGGCACCTGGGGTTCCTGCACCCATTGCAGCTGAGTGGGAGCGCGTGGTGTGGAGGCCCCCAGGCCCGCGGGGTTCCAGGCTGACACCGAGAGACTGAGGGGCTGTTTTAGGATGCAGACCTGCTTGAGATGAGGTGCCGATGGCAGAGTTGCTGTGTGGGTGACACCTAGGGGCGCGGAGCAGGCAAAGGGGAGCACAGGTGTCGCAGCCCCTGCAGGACACACCCCAGGCTTCCACAGAGTCAGGGCAGGGGGACTCTGGGCTGGATCCCTGGGCGCTGCGGGCGTGAGCAGCACCCGCCTCCACCCACTCCTGGCCAGGAGCCCCATGTTCCCGGACATGTGTGAGCCCCACAGTTTAGAGCCCTGCCCACAAATGCCCTGAGCACCGTCCAGTGCAGGGGCGGCCTGAGAGCATGGCAGCCAGGGGACTGGTGCCAGGATGGACGGCTCCACCGCACAGGCCTGAGGTTGGTGAGCCACTAAGGCCTGGCCGGCTGGCCCGGCCCTGCCCAGGCACTGGGCACCTGTACCTGCAGCCCCCTGGGGGCCTGGCAGCCTGAGAGCTGCATCTCCATGCCCAGTGGTCACTGGTGGAGGGGCAGTGGCTGCTCCATGGGGGCCCCGGACTCTCCAGTGTGCTGCAGTGCCTTGGTGACCTCGGGCCCAGGTCTGCATGGCCACCCTGCTCTGGAGCTACACCTGTGGGTCCCCAGCTCCTGCCTCCTGTCATGGGGCAGATGCCTGCTGGATGGTGACAGGGTGCTGAGCACCTGTACCTTAGTAATGTTTAATCAGCAGGAGTGAGTGCCTGCAGGGGACTGGGGAGGCCTGGTGGCCCGCGGGAGGGCAGGGCTCAGGAGGAGCCTGGGAACCTGAGGAGGAGCAGGTGGGCATCTGGGTGAAGGCGGGCAGGGAGGGACGGTCAGCAGGACCCTGGGGCCAGACAAAATCGGGCTGGAGCCTAGTGCCTCAGGAGGCTCCACGGGCGGGAGTGAGCAGAGGGCCAGCCAGGCGAGCAGTGCCCAGGCCCTGTGGGCATCGGGAGAGGGACCCCGGCTGACTGGCCCCAGAGGGAGCCAAGCACAACTCGCCCCACTAACTGTGGGCCTCAGCAGGCCAGTGACCGCGGGCCTCAGCAGGCCAGCATGGCAGGACCAGCCGGGGAGGCTGAGGGCGGGAGCCCGTCCCCGAGAGTTGGCCTCAACTCCTCCTGTGCCACTGTGTGCAGGACCCTTGTCCCTGTCGCGCCACGTGTGGGTGCCAGTGTCTTTTAGGCCTAGAATAGTTCAGGAGAAAAGTGAGCCCTTGCTCCCGAGCTCAGTCCCTTTCTGTTAGCGCCAACAGCCGTCCTGTGTCGCCTCCCAGGGAGAGCTCAGCGGCGTCGTCTACCCAGAAAACCGCAGAGCAACTACGCGTCCACTTGCTTCCTGGCCTGGGGCCGCAGAGCCCTACAAGGCCAGAGTCACTCGCCCTTCGAAGGCTCTAGAACAGCGAGTTCCAGAGTCCTGGCTTTTCTTGGGAAAGGCTGGTCCTGCCATCCGCCAATAGGCACTGGCCCCACAGTCCCCTTGACCACTCTGGCAGGTCCCCACCTTCTGCTCAGACCCTGCAGCCCCATGGGGAGTGTGTCCCTGGTGCGTGTCACGATGCCCTGGCTCCCTTCACCTCTTTTCCTTCCTTCCTTTCAGATGAATTTAAAAGCCTCATTAAGGAGGAGATCGCTCTGACCAGTGGTGAATGGGAGGTTCTGGCCAGACACGGCTCCAAGGTACCAGAGTCTCCTCTGTCCCTCCTCCCGCCCTTCACGTGCTCCTGGCTTCTCTGCCCTCCCTCCTGGCTCTGCCCCTTCCTGCTCCTCTCTGCCCTGCTCCTTTCCCTCCTCCCTGCCTGAGCATCGAAGACCAGGAGGGACAAGTCAGAGGGTCCCGTGGCCCCCGCCAGGTCCTGTGGGAGGGCCTAACCCACACTCTCAGTGCCACCGGGGTGTTCAAGTGGCCTTCTTTATATCTCAGAGCCCCCTCCCCAAGAGAACAGTCTTCAGGACATCTGCACATCCTATGGAATTAGAGTCATCAGGAGTGTCCCCACAGCCACCCCATGTTAGCCCCTGAGGTTCCCAAATGAAGGCACAGCCACAGAGATGAGCCACGAGCCCTGTGTCTTCACCTGGGTCCAGGAGCACAGCTTCCATGTTTACAGAGGGTTCCTGGTCACCCTCCTGGGTCCCTCCCTCTCAGAAACAAGCCCGCGCCCTTCAGTGACTTGGCATAAAAAACAGGAGCACACAGGTGGCCTGCAGGGTGCAGACGTGGCTGGCAACGCAGAGGCCAGCACACCCTGCCCGGGCTGGAAGGGGGAGCCTGGCCTCAGAGGGTGCAGTTGAGGCAGCAGGGCACAGCCCATCGGGGACAAGCCACCTGTGTGCTGACAGCAACGTGTGTCACGCCTGACTGGCATCCAGTGGGCCCCCAATGCTAGGTGTGGACCTGTGAGGTCACCCCAGAACTCTCTAGCGACATGTACGTGTGGTGTGTGTCATTCGTGGTTGAATGTGGCCGTCAGTGACAGCATGAGCAAGCGAGGCACATGTGGGTCACGGTAGATGGACGTGTCCAGTGCCCTCGCTGACTTGGAAAGATGCTGCTGAACTGTGGGGACAGGTGCGCTGTGGCACTGCAGCAGTCCCCTCTCTGGGCAGCTTCATGCCTGTGTCTTTGTGGATAGAGCCTGAGGGTGAGAATGCCGGTCTCTAAAGGTTAATTGGTGGCCAGTGGCCACCTGCTGGTTTCCACGCAGCCGGGTTGCTGCTGACCACTCGCCAGCTCCCTTCCCAGCCTGGCCCGAGCAGGGGGCAGTGGGCGGCTCTGCTCCCCTCTCCTGACCTTGCTCCCTGGGCCCCACCCACTCCACAGCAGGAGCGGCCCAGTCACGCCAGCCACTGATGTCCTCAGATGTCACCCAGGTCCCCTGAAGGGCACAGTCACATATGTGTGTGCGCGTGCATGCAGTGACCTTGAGTGTGTGGTATCCTGAGCCAGCACAAGCACCACGTCCCGGGGGTTGTGACTGCGCCCTGTCAGCACGCGCCTCTCTCCACCCTGAGACGGGGCGGGAGCATCTTAGAAGTGAAAGAAGAGCCTCCCACATGCCGGGCCCGGATTTGACCCCCAGACCACAAACAAGAGGAAGGACAGGACTGGGCTCTCTAAAGTGCTGTCTGCCCTGTTCTGCGTCACCCAAGCCAGGCCTCGCTGGGGACAAGCCCCGGGGAGGGCCGACATGTGCTGTGGAGCTGGGCAGTGCTGCTGGAGGCCCAGCCTCCTGTGGGTCTAGAGAACCTGCTTGTGGGAAGCAGCTCAGGCGCCGGACACACCTGGATTCCCAGGGAGGCTGAGTCCGCAGGATCAAGTTCAAGTTCAGCTTCAGCAACTTAGAGAAATCCCGTCTCAAGAAAATCACAAGGGCTGTGGATGCAGCTTAGTGGCGGGCACCACTGCCTACTTCCAGTCCCCCCAAATAAATGGAGCCTGGGGCGGGGTGGTCTGTGGGGGGCGCTGCCCAGCATGTGCAGGCCCTGTGTCCACGAGCACCACAGAGGACAAGAAACAGCACAGAGTGTCCCCTAGGAGCCCGCCCCTGCCAGCAGCCCTGCCTCCTGCAGGCAACAGCACTGTGGTCTTTGTCAGTGGGGGTCGACGGGGTTTTACAAAGGCCCACTTGGCCCCCTGGCGTGAAGTGGGCCTGCTCCTCCAGCGTCCTCATCCCCATGTGGGGAATTCCTTGGGAAGGGCTCCAGCAGCCTCTGTCCCAAGTCCAGGGCTGTGCCCTCTGGAGGTGTTTTGCCTGTGTGGCGCCACCTCACCACCACCCACCAGCCTGACCTGCCCCAGGTAGCCACCTGTCCCCACCTGGTCCTCTCTCTCGGGGTTTTCTAATGCTGGACTATAGCCGTGCCCCCGCAGCCGTGTGCCCCGGGGACTCCTGAGCAGGCGTGGGGCTGCAGCTCTGATCTCTGCCTGGGGACACCATCTAAGAACCTGGGGCTAGGAGGGGCCTTGCTACTTCTTAACTTCTAGCCCTTGGCCAGAGAGACGGGCTGGCCCTGGGACCCACGCAGCCTTCCTCCAGATTGATGCCTCCACAGTCCCAAGGGCCATCTAGGCTTGACCTTGTAACTCCAGCCCTCTGAAGGACACGGGGCCAGACCGGGCAGCATAGGCAGCTGTGCAGCAGAGACAGTGGGGAGCAGGTCCCCTGGCTGCAGGCAACGGGGTCCACCAGGGAGGGGGCAGGCTGGTCCCAAGCACTGTGTCCTCCCTGCAGATCTGGGTCAATGAGGAGACCAAGCTGGTGTACTTCCAAGGCACAAAGGACACGCCACTGGAGCACCACCTCTACGTGGTCAGCTACGAGTCTGCCGGCGAGATCGTGCGCCTCACCACGCCCGGCTTCTCCCACAGCTGCTCCATGAGCCAGGTGCATGCTGGCTCCCGCCCAGTGTCCCCCAGGGCTGGTGCTGCCCACCCCTACCTGGCAGCGGGGAGGGAGGGAGTGGTGTCCCCGGAGCACCACAGCCTACCTACTGAGCCTTGGTGCCGCTGCTGTGAGTGGGCCTCAGCCTTAGCTCCAAGCCGTGCTGACCCCGAGGCAGGGCACACACACGGGGCCACTGCCAGCACGGCCAGGCGAGCTGGCCCCACGGTGGCAGCTCCCTGGACACTGGTCCCAGACAGATCCAGGCTCAGCCCCTCTCCTTATTTGCACATGGGGCATTGGTAGCCACGGCGGGGGGCGGCATGACATCCAGATGAGCAGTAGGTGAAGAGTGCCTCCTTGACGGGGCGGGAAGAGCACAGGCGCCCCGGCTGCAGGGCACTGTGCCTGTTCCTGGAGACCAGCACCTCGTCCCCCACAGAGCTTCGACATGTTCATCAGCCACTACAGCAGCGTGAGCACCCCGCCCTGCGTGCACGTCTACAAGCTGAGCGGGCCCGACGACGACCCCCTGCACAAGCAGCCCCGCTTCTGGGCCAGCATGATGGAGGCAGCCAGTGAGTAGCCGGCCCTCCCTGGTGAGCTCGGCTTGCGTGTCTGTCCCCGGGCACGAGGGACACCCTGGCGAGCAGAGGGCAGCAGCTGTAGCCGTCCTTGCAGGAGCCCCAGGATACGTCAGAACATAACTGTGGCCGTGGCCCCACAGGCCGTGACCTGGCTTAGGGACTTGGGGGTCCATGGCACCTGCCAGGCAGCAGCGCACAGCACACAGAGCTAGGTCCCGGGGACTTCAGGGCCCGTGGGAAGGGAGCAGGGAGCAGGGGGCCATGGAAGCTCAGAGTGATGCAGCCAGCTGGAAACTTGCTCCACCCTTCCACAGCCAGCTGTGCCATCCAGGTGGCAGGTGCCATCCGGAGTCCTCTGCTCAGAGGTGGCCCCTGTGACGGCACCTGCACAGAGCAGAGGTTCTGAAGCCATAGTTTCTGAAAGAAGCAGGGGAGTGGTCACCTAGGGACCTCAGGGGAACAGGAAGTGTCTGACAGTTTGCCCAGGAGCCCAAGGTCAGTCAGGACTGCCCAGTGGTCCCGGGCCCACATTCTGGCTCTGGGGGACGCGCTGTGGAGCCTCAGGCTGCTGTGGGGTGGTTTCCTGGTATGGGTCGTCTGTGGAGCAGACAGTGAAGACAGGGCTCAGGCAGCGCCTGGCACCAGGGGACCAGCTGTAGCCCTGACTCTGCATGTTGCTGCTTCCCAGAACATTCCAGAAACTGGAATCTTGGGCCTGCAGGGATGTCAGGGGGCCTCGCAAGCATGTTGCCCTATCCTTACCTCCTGAGACAGCAGTGGGTAGAAGGGCCTCTCCACCACCAGCTCCACCCTCACTGCCCTGTCGCTATGGAGACGCCCTAGCCAGGGCAGGGAGGGGCCGGCACAGCGCCAGGGTCAGAGATGGGTCAAAAATGGGACCAGGTGTCCTAGGTGTGCCACAGGTGCCTGAGGCCAACTTCCCGGACCTCCTGGTCCATGCCAGGTTAGAACCTGGCCGGTTGTGGTCACTTTCAGTGCCCATGGCCGTGGCTGAGCTACAGCAGCAGCTAAGTAGTTAGGACACAGACGAACGGCCCTGGGCAGTGACCGGCCAATCACGTGGCTGTATTAATGACAACCTTCCTTTAAACTGATCTGCGTGTCCTGTTTTATCCTTTGCCGGTAGTTGAACGTGGACGGGACCTTTGTTTTATGTATTTATTTAGATGTGGTGCTGGGGATGGGACTCGGTGCCACACACGTGTGGGCGAGCGCTCTGCCCCTGAGCCTAGCCCAGCTCCCATGGACCCTGTTTACCTGGGAAGCCCTCAGGGAGGCCTTGAGCACGGCCAGCCAGTGCAGGAGGGTGGCAAGTGCGGGGCCAGCCTCAGCGACTCAGAGACCCTACCTCAAAAATCCAAACGGGCTGGGTGTGGCTTGGGAGTGGAGCGCTTGCCCGGCCGCAGGGCCCTGGGTCATCCCCAGCACTGCCAAGAGCTGCAAAGAATGACCAAAGGACAGAAGCCCCCCCACCCCCCGCCTTGCTGCAGTCCATGGGAAGCAGCCTGAGACGCATCTGCTGGGCTCTGGGCTGGTGTCTCTGCTCGGGCGGTTGGGGTGTCAATATCCCTGCCAGGCTGGGTGTCGTCGGGGTGACATGGGGAAGGACAGCTGGTGGACGGGCCTTCTCACCCCAGGGCTCGCCGGGAGTGTGCAGCTTGCAGCACCATGTCCCTAGCTGACCAGCGCTTTCCTGGCCCTTTGACATGACCTGGGCTCAGGAACCCCAGCAACAGGGGGTTCTTTGGTCCACCCTTCAAGGCTTGGGGAGGCACAGCTGCCACAGGCAGCCCCCAGCCGCCTGGTCACAGCGCTTTCCCATAGGCTGCCCCCCGGATTACGTGCCTCCGGAAATCTTCCACTTCCACACGCGGTCGGACGTGCGGCTCTACGGCATGATCTACAAGCCGCACACCCTGCAGCCGGGGAAGAAGCACCCCACTGTGCTCTTTGTGTACGGGGGCCCCCAGGTGGGTGTGGACCTGTCCTCCCCCCAGGCCCCTGGCCTCCTACCCTGGCCTGGCCTGCCTGGTGTCCCTCCCCAGACGCTCACTGCGCTTCCTCGCCTGCAGGTGCAGCTGGTGAACAACTCCTTCAAGGGCATCAAGTACCTGCGGCTCAACACGCTGGCTTCCCTGGGCTACGCCGTGGTGGTCATCGACGGCCGGGGCTCCTGCCAACGAGGGCTTCGGTTCGAAGGGGCCCTGAAAAACCAGATGGTAATTTCCTGGTCACTCCGGGCCCCTCCTGTGTTGTGCAGGGAGCTCTAGGTCATGTGGGGTTCGCTTAGGGCACACCCACACGAGGGCAGTGCTGGCCAGCATGGAGTAAGCAGGTGGCCTTTCAGAACCCAGGGGACACCTGCCTCAGCACTCGACTCTGAGCTGGGCCCCAGGGGACACGGGTAGCTGTCCATTCCACCTGCTCCTGAGCCCCTGGCATAGGAGAGCTGGGACCCAAACCCAGCCAGAGACCAAGGTACAGGCCAGGGCCACAGGAATTCCCAAGGTGTGGACCACAGGAAGACTGGTGGCTGTAGAAGTGATGGTGGTGATGGTGATAGTGTGACGATGCTGATAATGGTGTAGTCATGGTGATGGTAACGGTGCTGGTGCTGGGGGGGTGGCGATGCTGGTTGTCTCAGTTCGTCTTTTTGCTGTAACAAAGTACCATGCGCTGGAAAATTCGTAAAAAACAGAAATTGGGCGGCGGCAGCGGCCTGCACTCCTGATCCCCACCTGTTCAAGAGGCGGAAGCAGGAGGAGTCAAGTTCAAGGCCTGAAATACTTAGCAAAACCCTGTCTCAAAATAAGGGAGGTGGAGGGCTCAGCGCTAGAGCACCAGGCTTAAGTCCCCAGTACCCGTCCCCCCAAGAAGATCCTCCCACTTCTGGGGGCTGGGAGTCAAGAGGAGGTGCAGGACAGGTCTCGGTGCTGCTCTGCTCCCAGCCGGCACGTCACCTTCCCTGGGGAGGGGCTCACTATCTGGGCAGCCGGGACTAGGGTGGGGCCCTTCTGGCTCAGTCCCTTCCTAAAGGCCTCCCCTTAAGGCTGCCCTGGCAGGAACCCTCTCAGCCAGCCTGTGGCGGTGGCTCTGCGCTAGACGGGATGGCCTCTCCTCAGCACGCTGCACCCTCACGCCCACTGTAAAATGGGTCCTGGTCCCGTGAATATCCCCATTTAAAAAATGAGTCGTCTGAGGCCCCAAGAGGGAATGTGACTTTCTCTGAGTCACTCAGGAGGCAGGTGGCAGAATAGGGCAGTGGCCATTGACACCTGGTCACCGTCCCCCCAGAGCAGGTGGGTTTGAGCGGGGCTTGGCGAGACAGTGTTCCCGGAGAGCTGCTTTTGATCCAGGAGGGAGAGGCTCCCCACGGAGGCGAGGTGGACCCCAGGGTGTTCCCGGAGGAGGCCACTGAGGGTCCGGCCTCGTCCCCAGGGCCAGGTGGAGATCGAAGACCAGGTGGAGGGCTTGCAGTTCGTGGCGCAGAAGTACGGCTTCATCGACCTGAGTCGCGTGGCCATCCACGGCTGGTCCTACGGGGGCTTCCTCTCGCTCATGGGGCTGATCCACAAGCCCCAGGTGTTCAAGGTGGGTCCTTCCCTGGACAGCCACGTCCACGGACCCCACTCCCTCCTGCCGGCCACCCGACTCTGCCTGCCCCCGGGGGAGGCACCTCGGCAGGGGCCTTGCCACGTGGCTGTTTCCTCCCTGCAGCAGCCCCCGGGGCCGAGCCCCCCTCCTCATGCCCGCCACGCTGACCCCAGGATGGCCACCGGCTGCACAAAACCCTGCCAGCAGCTCTCTGTGGGAGGCTGAGCCCGGGACCCCGGCCTCGGATGGGCAGAGGTGGGGCATGGTGTGGAGAGCGTCGGGGAGGGCCCAGGCCGAGGCACTGTCAGGGCACTGCGGGGCGGCCGTGCGGAGGAGGAGGAGAGCAGCAGGCGCTGGGTCGGGCCCGCCCTCCGCCCCAGGGGCCTCACCCACCCTCCCACGGCGCCCCGCCTCCCTTGACCAGCGCACAGTCCACGGGGACAGACGCACAGTCCACGGGGACAGACGGTCTGAGGGCCACGCCCCGCCAGGCCCTTGCATGACCATCCTCATGCCCTCCAGGGGAGGCCCCGGGACAGCCGGCCACGTGGTGGCTCCTGGGACCTGACGCCTCTCTCTCTCTCTCTCTCTCTCTCTGCCCCATCTGTCCACTGTACCCTTCAGGTGGCCATCGCGGGGGCCCCTGTCACCGTCTGGATGGCCTACGACACAGGGTACACGGAGCGCTACATGGACGTTCCAGAAAACAACCAGCATGGCTATGACGCGGGTTCCGTGGCCCTGCACGTGGAGAAGCTGCCCAACGAGTGAGGCCCCACCGCGTGCGGAGTGCCTGCTGCCCCGTGTGGCCCTGCCCTTTCCCACCTGCCCCGCACGCCCCGCACGCCTGCCCCGCCCTCCACCCTGCCCGCCATGCTGGGCCTGAGGCCTGGACAAGCTTGCTGTCCCGGCGCTGTGCCTGCATGCCGCCTCCTGCCAGCTTCCCTTCCCAGCGCCCCTCGCAGCAAGTGGGTGCCCCAGGATGTTCTAGGGGTCCCCACACTGCCCAGGCACAGCCCTCCCCAGGGTCTGCCCCAGAGCGTCTGGCCACCGTGGCAGGGTCTTGCCCTGAACCACCTTAACAGGCGCTGGCCTCTGCGGTCTTCCTGTCGGTCAGTCTAGAGGCTTGGGTGTGGTGGCCATGCACTGACGCTGGCCTCCTCTGGCTGACTGGCACCTTCTGGGGCGTCCACTTCTAGCTGGTGTCCCCAGGCCCTGGGTGTTAGGAGGGGCTGAGGTCTGCTGTGTGTCCCAGTGGCACTATGTGCAGCCAGAGTGGACTGCACTGCCCTTGCCGCACCCCTGGCTCGGGGCTGCCATGAGCAGCTGAACCAGCAAGTCTGGGGCCGCCGAGGCAGGCGACCCAGGGCCGCGTGCAGCTGCCTGTGGGACTGGGCTTCACTTTGGAGGGTGTGATACTCTGGAACCAGAGAGGTGGAGGACTCACAGCCCTGCCAGGCCCCGGCTGCAGCTGGATTGTCCCCTTGGAAATGGCCGCCTGTGGGCTTGGTGAATTGCAACTCAGTCGATACTTTATAGAAGTAAAAAATCTAATTCTTGCTGGGAGCGGGGCCGCACCTGCGATCCCAGCAGTGTGGAGGCTGAGGCGGGAGGACCTCGGGTTCAGAGCCAGCCATCTGTCAAGACTGTGAGCGACCTGGTGAGACCCTGCTCAAAACAGAAAAGGAAAAGGGCTGGGGTGTGGCCCGAGGTAGGACGCCTCTGGGTTCAATCCCTGGTACCAGAAAAGAAAGGAAAACGAATTCTCTGCCGTTCTGCCCCTTTTCACCTGCTCAGCAGCCACAGGTGACCCAGTCACTGGTGGACAGGGAGCTCTAGAACGTGCTGTCATCCAGAGTGCCCGGGGGCGCGGGCGCCTCTCCCCGCTTTGCCTGGAAGCCCTGGACTTGTGACTTGTCAGTCCTGCTCCAGCCTTCACCTGGGTCCTGGGCCACACTGGGGCTGGGGGCACCCTGAACCCCTGGTGTGTCCTCCCACCCCACCCAGGGACCCTGGCCTCAGCCTCTTGCCCCACTTTGTCCTCCAGGCCCAACCGCCTGCTCATCCTTCACGGCTTCCTGGACGAAAACGTGCACTTTTTCCACACCAACTTCCTCGTCTCCCAGCTGATCCGGGCCGGGAAGCCCTACCAGCTCCAGGTGAGCCGCTGCCCGCCGCCCCGCGGGGCCGCCTCACTGCCTCCCTCTGCTACCTGGGCCCAGCACCGTCCCCAGGGCAAGGCCCTGGCCCACCCTCCCCTGCTCCTGCAGCCCGGCTGCCCCCAAGGACCCCGTGTCCTTGGGTTATCGCACCGCAGTGTATGGTGCCTCCAAGTCCCATGCCACCTTTAGTGCTGGGAACCCAGATCCCCCCAGTTGGGTCAGGAGGGGGCACAGCCATGGTTGACTCAGAGGCACCCGCTGGGAGGAGACCACTGGACCCTCGAAGTCTCTGCTTCAAGGGTCCAGTGGTTTCCTGGAGGTGGGGATCTTACAAGGGCTCACGGGGCCTGAGGGACTCCCCTGAGCAGGGGCATGCGGGACCCAGGGGTCCCCGGGTCCTGTGGACCCAGGCCTGGGACAACTTGGTCTGTAGGAGGAAGGAGCTTGGGGAACAAGTGGCCAGAGCAGCCTGAGCAGAGTAGGGGTGGGGCCAGCTGGGTGGGGCCTGGGGGACAGTGGGGTTTAGTGGGTTTAGGAGGGCTCCACTGATAGGGTGGAGCGTCGGTGGGGAGGCCTGGCTGGGGAGGCTGGCCTTGGTCAGTTGAGGATCGGGCCTTAGAAGGATTGTCTTGCCTGTTAGGAGGAGGGTGCTGTGATAGAAAGGGGGTAAGTGTCTGTGAGGGCCATAGACAGGAGGGAGGCTGAAGAGCTGACGGGGCACTCGCCCCATCCCATGCAGCCCTAGGGGCTGCGCTAGTTGGCGAGTCCTAGCAGAGGTCTCAGTTGGTGACTCACCCAGGGATGGATTAAAGAAGACAAGGGTAGAGGAGAGCAGACCAGCGGGTGGCCTGGTGCCTGGGTGGTGGTTGAGGACCTGGAGAGGAGGGATGGACCTGAAGCCCATTTCCCTGGCAGGAAGAGGCGGGGAATGGCACCTGCCTGTGCTGCTGGGCAGCCCCAGTGTGACATGGAGCTGGGTCCTTGGGAGGGGCTCCCTGGTGTCAGGCCTGCCCCGTGGCCCCTGGGGGCAGCAGGGAGCTGTTGGAAGGCTGCTTTATGGCAGGAACCAGACCAGTGTCTCCGTCTCCCCCGCCCAGGGGCCGGGCATGGGCAGCACAGGTCAGGGCATCCGCTGGTTCTGACCCCGCACAGTGCCGGGCCGCAGCCTGGGGCCTGGAGCTTGGAGTGGCTGAGGGTAAGGGCGCCCTCCTGGGCCCCACCTTGGCCTCCTCGCCCCGGAGGGGTGAGGAAGGGGCACCCCTTCCACCCACACTTCCTGAACCTGCCAAGGAGCCGGGGAGGCCTGGACTTCTCCCCGCGCTTCCAGGAAGTGCCCGCGTTACACGGGGTGTCAGAAGTGGGCTCTCGAAGCACCCAGCCCGCGCCTGTCTCCCGCAGATCTACCCCAACGAGAGACACAGCATCCGCTGCCCCGAGTCGGGCGAGCACTACGAGGTCACGCTGCTGCACTTCCTGCAGGAATACCTCTGAGCCGCCAGGAGCTCCACACCAGAGCACAAGGGCCTCTGCGGCTGCCACCACCGCAGGGGACCAGGCTGCCACCCTGCGGGGGACCAGGCCGGCAGGACCTGGTGGCCACAGGCCCTGTGGAGGTGCTTCCTCCCAGCACCCGCCAGACAGCCCTGGAGCCGGGGAGCCGCTGCCTTCGTGCCCTGAAGCCTTGGTTTTCTCTTCACTGCTCCTGGGTTCTTTGCTTGCTGCTTCGTGGTTGCCAGGACAGAGATGGTGGCCTCTCTCCACGAGGCACTGCCTCGAGTCGTCCCTCCTCGCCCTGCCTTCTGGAAGGAGAAGGCCATGTCCCCACCGGGCACTGGAGACACAGAAGAGACTGGGGGCCGGGAGGCTCCCACCTACCTGCCCTGGGTCTCCACCCTGTGGCTCGGGCCTCTCCTCCCCACCCCCGGCCAGCCACCGTCCCCAGCACAGGAGCATGCAGACGCCTGTCCTCCCGCCGGCCACCCACTTCATATCTGTGTTGTGTTTTGGGGGTCATTTTAAATAATTATTTAAAAGACAGAAAGCAAGGGGTACCTGAATCAGAACCGGGCGTGCGCTGGACGGTGGCGCTGCGGCCCAGCCGAGGTGCCTGAGCCTACTCCCCAGCCCAGGGCAGAGCTGCAGGGCCGCCCCGGTGCCGTCCGCAGCTCTCTGGTGGCTCTGGGTGCCTGTGGCTGCCGGCCCCTCACTAGCCCAGTGGCAGCCACATGCCTGGCCCCCGTGTGCCAGGTTCTGGGGTTGGGAGCTGGAAACGCCCCACCTCGGGGTCCCACTCTCCCTTTGCCTCCCTGCCAAGAGATCAGGCGAACAGAAAAGAAGAAAGAAAAGGAAAAAACAGGAACACCTCTACATATTATGGAAAGAAAATATTTTTGTCGATTCTTATTCTTTTATAATTATGTGTGTGAGAAGTAGACTCATTAAACAGTCCCACACGGAAGCCTTGCCGCATGCTGAGGCCCGAGCGGGAGGGCGGGGCCACTGCCACAGCCTCAGCAGGGCAGCCGGGGCCGGGCCTGGCAAGAGCCTCCTGCCTGCAAGGGGCCAGAGGCCAGCTGCTCCCTGCTGGCGCCATGCTCGCCCCCTCTGGTGCCTGTCCTTGTCCACAGGATCACAAGGGCCAGGCGGGAAGATCCGTGCCCTCTGCGTTTCTGTCCCAACAGCTAAGACCCAGGGAGGCCTTGGTGGGGCGGCTTGGGCATTGAGGGTTGCAGTGCTGGGCCAGACTGCCTGCCCCGGCCCTCTCTCCGTCCTTTGGGAAGCCCAATTCTAAAAAATGAATTAGAAACCAAAAACTCAGGCCGAGGCAATTTCGAGGTCAGCCTCGGCAACTTGATGACATCCTGTCTCAAAAAATAAGGGCTGGACTGTGGCTCAGGGGGACAGCTTGCCTCGGGCCCAGCCCAGCACCACAGGCACATAAATCTGAAGACTATTACCAAACTGCCTCCCAAAGAGAACCCCTCAAAGTACCCTCCCCCCAAGAGAGGCGCAGAGCGTGCCTGCTTCTCTGTTCTGCTCCCAGTACAATGTGTTACCAAATGGCATCATCTTTGCCAGTCTTACGAGTGGCACCTCTAGGTAAGACTCCATTGTTCTTTCCTGTGGTGATCTTTTCATATTTTAAAACATCCGTTTTCTAGTGGTCATTTGTTTCTGTCCTTTGTCCACCTTTATTTGACCTGTGGGTCTCATTGATTTGTAGGTGCTCTTTATATTTGAAGGAAATCAGTCCGTTGTCATACATATGTCAATCTCTGTGTGTTGTAATGGTAAGAAGCTCAGCCAATGAATCTTAAAAAACCATTCTGTTGAGAAAAAGAAAATGTCGTTCACTTAACATTGCGAAATCGAATACCTAGGGGCACACTCATAATTCACAGGCTAAAGATCACAGAGATCACAGAATGACCAAGCCGGTGGAAAAGGGGTTGCTGAGGTTGCCCAAGGAGGCCTAGCTGCTGGAGACCTGCACTTTCATCAACTGTCCTATGTCACTCATTTAATGAGGAGTGTCATTAGTCTTGAGTGGGTCACTTCCTGTCCAGGGCCACTATGCAAGGGGAAAGAAGAGAGTGGGTGGCAGCTGGGCCCACTGTCTTCTTGGCTGCTGGGGATCCCCTCACCACAGGGGCTGCTCCTCCCAGGCTGGGTTACTTTTCTGTTTGTGGCCTCTCCTGATTGGCAAGGAACACTGTGACAGAGGTCCCCTCCCCGTGCAACCTGCTGCAGGTATTCACGGGGAGGGGGAGTCATTTGCCTTTCAGACACATTTAAAAGTAATAATCGGGCTGGGGTGTGGCTCAGTGGGACAGCACTTGCCTGCCCACGCCAGGCCCTGGGTTCCATCCCCAGCACAGCACACAGAGCGCATGCGTGACGGCTGCAGGCTGGGGCATGCCTCATGGCAGAGCCTGTGCTTAGCATGCATGAGCCCTGGGTTCCGTCCCCAGCACCTCCAAAGACGGACAAACCAGAGAGACACACAGGAAGTTGAGAAAGTGGTATCAAGAGCCTGGGGTGCCCCCATCTGGCTCCCTGAGGCCGCCAGCTCCCGATTTGGCTCCATGCCTTATTTGGGTTTTACCCCTTTTCACACGCACTTTGCTTCTGCTCCATGTTGTCACCTGCACAGATTCCCGCGGCCAGCACTCAGCAAGAGTGCTTCCTACACGGTACCTACCCCTGTGCGTCCACCCACCCCTCCAGGGCTCCTGGACAGAAGAGATGTCCACAAGGTCAGACCCGCTCCTTTGGGATGCTGGGCTCACCGTCAGGATTAGAAGGCAAGATCTTTGGGATGACAGGGACCTTTTAATTCCTTCACAGTGATTTATTTTTCATGTTTGTTAGAAACAAAAAAGAGGAACAGAAGTTGCTTGGGACTTGGGGTCTTTCTACAGACACAGACAGATGTCCTCAAAAGCCAACCCACTTCAGTAGAAGACTGAAGCAGCTCACAGCTGAAATACCTTGCTGTACACAGAGCTTGGCCACTAACTGAATCCTTCATGGTGACAGGGTGAAGCTGGGTGGTGACAAGGTGATGGGGAATCTGTCAGTGGAACCCAGCTGTGTCAGATGCCCTAGGTAAAGAAGTATGGTCGTCCAGCTTTTAGTGCCCAGAGCAGGCAGTGGCAAAGAGGAGGGCATTTCCCTCCCTCCCTGCCCGCTCCTCTTTTGGTGCTAGGGATGGAATCCGGGGCCTCAGACATGCCAGGCAGGTGCTCTACCACTGAACTACATCCCCAGCCCATTTTTTTTTTTTTTTTTTTTTTTTTTTTGAGACAGGATATAACTAAGTTCCCATCTCCCTGCCTCACCTCATCAGGGATGACAGGTGTGCACCACCCCACCTGGCCAAGAGGAAGAAACGCACCCAGCCTGGCCTTCCCACCAGCTGCGGAGGCTTTGGCAGGACCCTCCTTAGCTCCAGGATGCCAACCCCAGTCCTCGTGTCTGGGGGGAAGAGTGTTTAGTTCCTCGAAGGGTGAGTAGGGCCCGGCTTCAGGGTTTTACCTAGGACACTTTCCCTGGTTTGCTCTTCCATCACCAGAAGGACCAGGAATACCAGCTGAACTCCTCACCCTCCAGACCTGTCCACTGGTGTTTTCCTGACATCTTAAGCAATTTGTAACCAAAACAATGATTTCCTTCCAAACTTGAAAGCCTGGAATTTCTTTTATTTTTGCCAGTACTTACAGAATACTTTACCAGCTTCTGTAATCAAACCCACATCGACATTACATATTTAGTAGACTGTATTATCCCTGTACAAATGGAAAAAAAAATGTTTTAATGTTTCTAGACCAATATGAAAGCCTAGAGGTTTTTTTTTTTCTTTTTTTGGTGGGGGGAGGGGGTACCAGGGATTGAACTCAGGGGCACACAACCACTGAGTCACATCCCCAGCCCTATTGGACATTTTATTTAGAGACAAGGTCTCAGTTGCTTACTGCCTCGCTGTTGTTGAGGCTGGCTTTGAACTTGCAACGCTCCTGTCTGCCTCCCGAGCCGCCGGGAAAGCCTGGCCTTTCCTAATGGGCATCTGTCTGTAGTGGCTACTAGAGCTCTCCCAGTCTGGGAGAGGAATTCCACCCGCATTCCCTCACTTAACCCTCTTGTCAACTCTTAAAGGTGGGTTTTTTTCTTTTTCATTGTTAATTCTGAAGTAATTTCAGGCTCTAAGATAAGTTGCAAAAATTGTCCGGAGCCCCCTAACAGCTCAGTCCAGCTTCGCCTAGGGGCAGCTTCTTCAGGAGCTGCAGAGAGTGGGGTGCCTGAGGCCAGGGGCTGACCATCTACCTGTCCCGTCCACCACCCTACAGACTGCATCAGACTTTGAACAGCTCTTCCTCCTGTGTCCCTCCCACAAGGATCCCGCAGTGTGTCCCCTTTTGTTAGGTCTCATTCTGTGATGGTTTCTCTCTGTTATGTGACACACTCCTGGAGCCTGTCAGTTATTTTGTAGAATGTCCTTTGATTCACATCTGTCCAGTGGTAAGCACGCGATTTTAGCAGGAGTCCCACGGGGTGCCGTGCCCCCTCAGCATGTCCCAGCAGGTCTGTGATGTCGCTGTCATTATTAGCGATGTTAACTTTGCCCCCTGGGTGACGAGGGGCCACCACAACATTTCTTTTCCCCTTTGTCACTGGTAAGTGCGGGGGGTGCTCCTGAGTCGGGGGACATGCCCTTCGCGTCCTGCTGGAGTGGAGGAGGACAGACTCCTGCAGGACTGTCCACCCAAGCCGCCTTCCGCGGCGCAACGGAAAAAAGAAAAAAAAAAAGTCTAAACCAGCATTTTTACATGAGCAGTCCCTCCAGACCCTCAGCGACACACCCAAGGTGTCTGTGTATGACGGCGGCAGACGTCCTAAGTGGCATCACCTAAAAGCAGAGGCAGGAGACACATTTAAAGGCAAGGAAATGACCTTCCAACTTTCATTACCAAAGTGACACAGAAACAAGACCACTGTTAAACGAGAACATTCCCTTCTGCGTCCCCGGCGGACCTGGGCTGCCACCGGGACCAGGCGTCCAGCTCCGGCGACAAACTCGTCCCGCGCACTAGGCGGAAGCGCCGGAACGCGGGACACAGACACCCAAGCCCCGCCCCCAAGATGGCGAACGGGCGGGGCGTGTGGTCACGTGACGGCGCGGACGCCGACGTGGCCGGCGTAGGGCGCCGCGCGTGTCCCTCGCCGCGTCCCGTCCGCCCGCCCTGAGCCGAGGACCCGATCCCAAGATGGCGGCGCCCAGCGAAAAGAGGGACGGCGGCAGCGCGGGCTGGTGGGCTGCGCTGCTGTTGGTCGTAGCGCTGAGGCCGGCGGAGGCGGTGTCCGAGCCCATGACGGTGGCGTTTGACGTGCGGCCTGGGGGCGTCGTGCACTCCTTCTCCCAGAACGTGGGCCCCGGGGTACGTGCCACCGCCGCCCCGGGCGTTTGAGCGAGGTGGTGCCGTCTGGGCGAGGGGCACCGTCCCTCGGTGGGGGGGGGCGCGATCACTGAGGACCTGGCGGGAGGCGGGGCTTCGGGGGCTCCGCGCCTCCGAGGGGCGTGGCTACAGCCCCGCCCCGGCCCACCTGTCACCTGCCCGCGGAGTCCTGGCCTCGCGACTCTGAGGTGGGGAGAGCGGCCCGAGGCAGAGGGGCAGGGGCCCTGCAGGGCCGTGCGAGGTCACCGCCGGTCCCGCAGGTGCGAGGCGGCTCCGTCCCTGGAGGCCGCGGGCCTGCGTCCGGCCCAGCTCTGCCCCGCCCGTCGGGGGTCCCCTCGGCCTGCAGCCTCCCCTCGTGCCCGCGGTGTCTGCGGTGCCAGGTGCCTCCTTATAAGGGGTGCTCGCCAGCCCTGTTCGCAGAGGACCCACCCAGTCAGTTTTCGCTTGGCCAGGAGCCCCTGGTGCCCTTGTTTCCAAAACCCATGTCCCTCGAGGCCGTGGTTGCTGGAGTGAGTGTGGCCTTTCCCCAGAAATCAGGTGGGTTGTTTGCTGACCCTGGAACCCAGGGGTAGGAAGAGAGGCGGTCAGGGCAGCCGCGGTCAGTAGCTGCTGGGGCGTGTCAGGGTTGGCCTCCAGGGACTTCCTCGGAGGCGACCTGTGCTCCCTGCTAACCCGTTTTTCCTCCTTTAGGACAAGTTCACCTGCATGTTCACCTACGCTTCTCAGGGCGGCACCAACGAGGTGAGTTGTTGGGGAGTCCACATACCTTGTCACGCGGAGATGCTCTCCAGGGGACAGTGAAGCTGGGTTACATGAGCCTCAGCTTCTGGTCATTGAGCTCCCGTGGTGAGCCACGGAACAGAAGGCCGATCGTGCTCTTTTGTCCACAGAGCGATCGAGGGAGCTCTAGACAAGACTCGGCCATTCTCGTTGGCCTCTACCAGAGGTGCTGCATTCCTTTTCTGTGCTGAATGACAGAGTGCTACACATTTAGTGACTTTGAGCAATACCATTTGTTGTCTCTCAGGTCTGTAGAGAGTCAGGGTTGGCCCAGCTGGACACTGTGTGAAGCCAAAATCAAGGTTTCCCTCCTGGCCCTTATCTGCAGGCTCTGGGGAAAGTCCTCTTAGAGGCCTGTTGCGGTTTTAGGCAGAATTCAGCTCTTTGCGGTTGAAGGAACAAGGTTCCATTCCTTGCCGGCTGTTCTCTCCAGCTGACAGCGGAAGAGGAAATAAAGGAAAAATTCATTAAGTGGGAAGGATACAGTGTACCCTAACTGACTTTGAAGGGACCCCATTGCAAGGAGCACAGGTGGCTTCTGGGAGCTGAGAGTAAGGAAATGGGGCTTCAGTCCTACAAATGCAAGGAACTGAATTCTGCCACGACCTGGGAACGTGGAAGAGGACCCTGAGCAACAGGTGAGACACTACCCAGCCACTACCTTGGTTTCAGCCGCATGAGACTAAACAGGGCTCAGCATGCCGTGTCCTGGCTTCTGATCTGCAGAACTGTGAAGCGGTAAATGAGCGTGAGTCAGGGGCAGAGGTGCACTCTGTTGTCCCAGCTGCCCAGCAGGCCCAGGAGGAGGACCACGAGTTCCAGGCCAGCCTCAGCAACGTAGGCCCTGTTTCAAAATAAAGAGTTGAAGAGGACTGGATTGAGCGCAGCTGGGTGGCAGGGCCCTTGCCGAGCGTGTGCGCCTAGGGTCGGCACCCAGTGGGGGGTTTAAGCCAAGTCTGTGGTGACTTGTTCATCAACATAGTGGGTTGAATGGTGTCCCCACAAAAGGTCGGTCTGTACCCAAGTCTTGGAACCCATGAGTGGGGCCTTATGTAGAAAGTGTCTGTCTTGGCCAGTGTGATTAAGTGAAGGACCTCAAGATGAAAACGGCCTCCAGGTGTCTGGTTGGGCCCTCAGTCCAGTACGAGCATCCTGATGAGGGACACAGTGGAGATTGGCTTGATGGAAGAGGGTACACGGAGGAGACAGCCCTGCAGAGTCGGGCGTGGAGCAGCCACAGCCAAGGGTCACTTGGAGCCCCGCAGCTGGAGGAGCAGGAAGGACCCTGCCTGGGGCCTCTGGGGGGCACAGCCCTGGCCACACCTTGATTTTGAACTTCGCCTGCAGAACTGTGAGAGCCTCCGTTTCTGTCGCTGTGAGCCGCTAAGCGTGTGGCAATCTATTGCAGCAGCCACAGGAAGTGAGTGCAGCAAGGGCCACGTCAGAGGAGGTGCCCTGCGATCGAGGTGGAGTCCCCTGGAGTCTGGCTGGCCCTGGAGGGACAGCAGTTAGCGTCTGAGGAGGGGCTTAAGAGAGGCACCTTCTCAGGATGTTAGGAGGTAGAGCTGCTACCGTGGAACCCGGGAGAGCATCTTGCACCCCTGGGGTGACGTCCCTCCCCACCCCAGGCTGCAGGGAACGCGCTCTAATTCCAGAGCAGCCCCGTAACGACATAGCCTAGAGATGGACGCTGCTGGGAATCCCGACGGTGGACGCTGAGGGCAGGACCACTCCCAGCAGGCCGGGCCTCCGCTTGCCCAATCAGAGACGCACATGGGTGCCAAGGGCAGGCCTCTCCCTTCTGCGCCCTGGACATTGGGGCTGGCCACTCTCTTAAGTGGGCCTCCCAGGCACCACCGGGTGTGGAGCAGTCTCTGGCCTCCACCCACTTCGGCCAGGAGAACCTTGAGTTGTAACAGCCACGAATGTCCCCAGACAGCTGCGGGGGGCTGGCCGCCCAAGCTGGATGGTGCCTGTGGCTGCTGCCCGACAGGTGGATCCATGGGCTTCCCGTCTCCCTGCCTGTTGCCGCCTCGCGGGTGAATGCCAGGATGGATTCTGAATAAATGGCAAAGACTGGGTGAGATGACCTGTGGTGTCCAGGGAGACAGAGGCACTCCTGGGGCCACAGACACTGAGGCTGCGGAGAGGCCTGGGCACTTTGTCTGGAAGGGCAGGCCTGCGTCCCGAGGCCTGGAGGAGGTGGGAGCCGGTGGGCCGCAGGCGAGGGCAGCATCTGTGTCCCTTCACCATGGTTGGTGCAGCCAGCTGGCATCGGGGACCCAGGCAGAGGGACAGTCCTCATAGCACTGCAGTGCCAGTGACATGTGGAGCCACCAGAAAGTAGAGTCACAGGCGCAGCCCCTCTGGAAAACGTCAAGGCCATTTCCCATAAATAAAGGAGCCCTGCCAACCGAGCCAGCCGCAGCAGCAACTTAGGCCCACACAAGAGTGTTCATAGCAGCGTTTTCCGCGGTGGCCATGAAGCACAGGCCACCAAGTGTTCATTGGCGAGTGAGTGGAACATGTGATGTGGGACTTCCCTGCAGTGGAATATCATTCAGTCAGGAACAGGAGAGAGGTGACCTGCTCTAGTGTGGATGTGAAAGGCCACACAGTATGTGGCTCCAGTGACAGGGAATGTCCAGGACAGGAGAGTCCAGAGGCAGGACCTGGATTCATGGTGCAAGGTTGGGGAGGGACAGGTGACTGCTCGTGGGAATGGGCTTCCTCTTGGGGTGGTGTGGGTGTTCTGGAATGGGGAGGTGGCAGGCCGCCTGGTGGTCCTGGAAGCCGCTGAGTCGTGCATCCCCCCCCCCCCCCCAGTTTGTGCTGAGGGCGGCCTCACCGAGTTGCTGAGGCTGATCTGGAACTTGTGATTCTCCTGCCTCGGCCTGCCTCTCAGGTGACTCGCCTTTAGGACCTTTAAGGACTGGGGATTGGGCTGGGGCTGGGCTCAGTGGCGGAGCCCTCGCCTAGTGCGTCCGAGGCCCTGGGTTTGATCCTCAGCACCACATTAAAAAAATAAATAAATACAAAGGTATTGGTCCAACCAAAAGAAATGTTTAAAAAAAAGAAAGAGCTGGGGAAAGCCTCCTGGACCTCCTGAGTGGATTCCCTCCAGGCACCTCATCCAATTGAAGTGTCGTGGTGTCCAGAGCCCGCGGAGCCACAAACAGGTGTTTCAAATTAGAAAAAAAAAACCAACACGGGCTGAGTACCGGGGAGGGGGGCGGGGGGGGCCCCAGGCAAAGTGCCCGCTGGAGGTGACATAGAGATGGCCTCGCCTCTAGGGACGAGAACGCTGCCAGGTTAAGCCGGGGCCAGTGATCGGACTCGACGAGGGTCATGCTGGCCAGGTTGCCGGGCAGCCAGGACGCCAGGGCGGCTTTCCACCGCCATTTGGCTGGAGTCGGGAGGCCGTGAGAAGTTTCTGGGTTATTCTTCTGAGGTTAGTGGGTTTTTGTGTGTGTGTATTTTTGTTGTTGTTGTTTTGTTTTGTTTAAAGAGAGAGAGAGAATTTTTAAATATTTTTTTTAGTTCTCGGCAGACACAACATCTTTATTTTATTTTATGTGATGCTGAGGATCGACCCAGCGCCCTGCGCATGCCAGGCGAGCGCGCCACCGCTTGAGCCACACCCCCAGCCCAATGTGTGTATGTTTTTTACTGTTTTTTCAGATGGTGAAGGACCTTTATTTTATTCATTTGTTGATATGTGGTGCTGAGAATCCAACCCAGGGCCTCCCACATGCTGGGCGAGCCTCTGCCGCTGAGCCCCCGCCCCAGCCTGGGCTGGTTTTCTGTCACCGGTCACCGGTGTCCTGCCACAGCTGCCGCCCCGTGGCGCCCAGGCTCGTGGTGGGCTTCAGGGCCCATGTCGACCGCAGCTCACGGCGTCTGGGGGCACCAGGAGCGGGGCCTGGTGCCTGTCTTATTCCTTTTCTCTGGACTCTTCTGGGAACCGGTGTCAGGCGCCGCCTTCTCTCTCCAGAGTCTCTAGCCTCCTGCTCGGTTGCGAGAAGTCTCGCAGGGAGAGGCGGGCACCCGATTCGCCTGGTCACTGGTGCCCTCGGTGCGGCCTCCCTGGCCCCCGCCACTCCCTGTCCTCAGGTCCTGCACTCTGCCCTCTTGAGCTCGGCTGCCGCAGCCCGGGACGTCCCCGTGCGCTGTGTGGTCCACGGGCTGGAGCGAGAGCCTCGTGGGCTCCAGCTTCTCCCTCCTAGAAGCCTGGACCCTCCCTGGGTCGAGTCCTCCGTGGTCCCTTACCCGGAGGCTGGACCGCGCTGGTTCTCGGGAGGGGCAAGGCCTTTGGATGGGAAGTCACCAGAGCCCAGAGGGGGGCAGCCTGGCATGGGGAGTCGCTGTGAGTGACCTGTGCCGCCTTCTCCCCGCAGCAGTGGCAGATGAGTCTGGGCACCAGCGAGGACCACCAGCACTTCACCTGCACCATCTGGAGGTGAGCCCCGCCCAGCACAGGGCCCTGCTGCTGCCCTGACCACGGTGGCCAGGTGCTGCCCGGGAGGCCGGAGGAGCACAGGGGCGCAGGGGGGTGTGGTCTGGTGGGAAAGCTGTGAGGGCTTCCTGAGAACGGTCACCCTGGCCCAGGGGTGGCAGGGAGCCACGGAGATAGAAGTCAGCCTTCTGAAGAACAGGCTCCGTGACAGTGAGACGCTCCCAAGGCTGTGCAGCCATCATGTCTGTCTAGTTCCAGAACATTCTGTCACACACAACAGGCCTTATCCCCATGAATAGTCACCTGTCCCTCTGTAGCCCCCGGCACCCACAAGCCTCATCCCGTCTTGGACGTCTCCTGTCACTGGGTCACGCACTGTGGCCTTGGGCCTCTGGGTCACGGAGCACAAGTTCTCAGCTCTGCCGCGGCTGCAGCGTGTGTCACAGCCTCCGTCCTCTCCAAGGGCTCTGGCAGGACCCTGGCCTGTCCAGCAAAAGGAGGCAGGGAGGTCTCAAGGCCAGCAGGCTGTTGGGCAGAGAGGCAGGGCTGGGCCGGCACTTGGCAGGGTGGGCTCTGGGCCTCTGGGCCTGGGAGGAGCCGGGCTGAGTGAGCTGGGCCTGGGGGAGACGCGGGGCTTTGGCATGGTGGGCCCGAGGCCGTGGGAAGCCATTGCCTGTGCAGAGAGGCACCAGCAGGGCCTGTGGTCAGCTCCTCCTGGACCTGCCCTGCTGTGTCCCCCAGGCAGCTGTCTGAGCCGTACCCTGCCTCTGGTTCCTGACCATCCGCAGGCCACAGGCCTCTGGAATCAGACAGCCCTGCCCCACGTCCCTGCAGCGCTGCCCGCCCTTCCCGCTCTGGCTGTGTCCCTGCGACCTTGCCTTTCTGACTTCCTCACGACCCTAGACGAGGTGGGACAAGGGGAGGGAGGCAGGGTTGGCCTGGGGCCCTCAGCGCTGGGTCCCTGCCCTTCTCCCCGGGCACCTTGCTCAGGCAGGCCCACAGAGCTGTGCGGCAGACCCTGGGAGAGCAGGCGGCAGCCGAGGGCTATTTAATGGAGGACAGGCTGTGCCATCTGACCGGGCCGCTGGCCTGCGGTTCTAGTGTTCACGGGGCATCCGGGGGAGACAGACCCCAGGGCCATCGCCAGCCCGCCGAGACCTGGTGGTGCAGCCTCCAGGGGCGCTGCAGGTGCAGGGGCCAGGCGCAGGGAGATCCCTTGGTGGTGACCCTCTGCTTCATGATGCCTGAGCCCGGCCTCTCTGGACGCAGCTCTGCAGGCCCACGGTGGTGGGGCCGGGGGTGCTCGACTGCGCCTGTGTCCTCTTTTCTGACCCCCGGGCTCCTCCGGCAGTGGGGCTGCTGCCTGCCAGCTGCGGTCAGGCCTGAGCGGGCCTGGCCCAGACCTCACACCTTGACCCTCCGCCCAGGGTCCGGCAGTGGCCACTGAGGAAGTCACCCAGGAGATCCTCGGGTGCCCGGGGCCTCTCACGGTCCACTCCCGCAGCTGCATGGAGCCCGGCACCCAGGACCTCGTCCCCCTTGGCCTCGGGCACCTCTCCCTGCTCCCGCCGTCCCCTGGTGACCCCTCTGCTTCGACCTCGCCGCTCCTCCAGTGCCCCCAATTGAACCTCCTGTGACCCAGGCAGCAGCTCCCCGCTGCAGAGTCTGGCCGCGCCCCGCCCTCCCCGCACAGCCCCCCACTGAAATAAGGGCGTGGACTCCAAGAACGTGCAGCCGATGACCACGCGGGTCCCAGGCCCCCGAGGGCTCACGGCCAGGGGTGAGCGGCCGGCGTGTTCGGCAGAGGAAGGAGGCCTGGTCTGGACGGACGCTGCCCTTCCTTCCTGGGGTCGGCAACTCCGGGAAACAGTGTCCCTGTACAGGCTCCAAACCAGCTGACCACCGCCCACGGCAGGCCTAGCCCAGCACAGGTCCTGGCGGGCTCTCTGTAGGGCTCGGGTGACCCCGGGCTGGTCTGACCTCCCCGCTTCTCCGCAGGCCCCAGGGGAAGTCCTACCTCTACTTCACGCAGTTCCAGGCTGAAGTGCGGGGCGCAGAGATCGAGTACGCCATGGCCTACGTGAGTGCGCCGCAGAGTGGCCTGGGGCACCCCGCGCTGCTCCCCGGGGCCGCAGAGCCTCAGAGCCCCTGCAGCCCCACGTGGACACCCTGCGGTCCCACCAGAGCCCCACTTGAGTCTGGGTCAGAAACAGTTTGGAAACTCCTCACATCTGCCCGTCCCCCTGGGACACGGGGCGCCACAAGGAGGTGCTGGTGCCCGAGGCCTGGCGGGCAGCAGGGGCACTGGGGCCCTCCTTGGTCACCCGGTTCTGGCAGCGATCCAGGAGTCTCCTGCCCTCTAGGTCAGCGTGACAGACCTCACCACAGCACATGCCCTGCAGGGTGACCCTTCCAAGTGACCTGCTGCCCACGCCTCCCTTTTGGCTGACTTGAAAGAAATATTTTTGATTTTTTAACTTTAAAATTTTTTTCAGCCCTGGGAACGGAACCGGGGGCCTGGTGCGCTAAGCGCTCCTCCAGGAGGGAGCCCAGGGCGCTCCCCGCGAGCCACCCCCCAGATGATTTACCTGTTCATTATTTTTTAATGTATGTGTCTTCGTTGTTGGTAGAACTTTATTTTTATTTGTATGTGGTGCTGAGAATCAAACCCAGTGCCTCCCACATGCAGGCCAGTGCGCTACCACTGGGCCACCGCCCCGCCCCGCCCGCCTCTCTGTTGGTTATTTAAACCTTTATTTAATTTATTTTTATGTGGTGCTGAGGACCGAACCCAGGGCTTCGCTCGGGCTAGCTAGGCAAGCGCTCTCCCACTGAGCCCCGGCCCCGGGCACTATTGTTTACTTAGAGACAGGGTCTCAGAGAGTTCTTAGGGTCTGAGTTGCCGAGGCTGCCTTGGACTTGCCTCCCCAGTCGCTGGGGTGACAGGCGTGGCCACCAGCAAGTGTGCCCACCAGTTATGATTTTCTAAAATTACGTTTAAGAGATTATGATGCTAGAATCGTTTCCGTAAATTATTTTTTAAATTATGAAAGTTACGCTGTGTCCAATGCCGGTGGCTTGTGTCAGGCGAGGTCTCACAACCGCGGCTGCCCCTGGGGGGCCCTTGCCTGCTGGGGGGCACTGCCCGTCCTGCTGCTGCTCTTGTGGCTTCTAGTAACGTCTCCCTGTTCCTTTCCAGTCAAAAGCTGCGTTTGAAAGAGAAAGCGACGTTCCTCTGAAAACCGAGGAATTTGAAGTCACCAAAACAGCAGGTGGGTGACTAGAGAGGGGGCCTGAGGGGCGGGGTGAGTCACCAAGCCTTGGGGACAGTGTCGCAGCACAGAAGCTTCCCCCACGCTGGGCCCACAGGGTCAGTGCCACCGTGTCGCTGTCACGGTACCCGAGCAGCTGCTCCATAAGGAAGAGAGAGTCACTTGGCTGATCTGGAGGCCGAGGGCTGGCGCTGCCTTGGCTCTGACGAGGGAGGGTGGCAGGGCCAGGTACGAAGCCAGGGCGGGCTGGGTCCCCATCCTCAGAGGCGTGACCCACCTGTGCCGGAAAGGGACCCGGGGCCTCGCGTGCCGCCAGGTGCCTAGCCCTGAGCCACACCCAGCCCCACACCTCTTGAAGGGCCCACTTCGTCTCAGCCCCAGGGACACACTCCTAGTGGCAGCAAGTGGGTTGGCCACATGCCAGTGAGGCTGGACCACAGGGACAGGTGGACTTGAGGTGGCTTCTCCGCACCACACCTGCTGTTCCTGCTGCGCATCGTGCAGCTCCTGTGGTCCCCGCTTCCCGGGAGGCTGAGGCAGGAGGATCGCCTGGGAGTGTGGGGCCAGCCTGGGCAGCACAGTGAGACCCCGTCTCAAAACTTGGAACAAAAGAAATCCCTTTTTATTTTTTTTTAAGCAATTTAAAAACGTTAACCGCGCTCGGTGCACAGGCTGTGCTCCGCGGTGCCTGCCGCACACGAGTGTGGAAAGTCACTGCCGCTGGGCGCCCAGGGCGAGCTCCATGGGAAACAGGGCTGGGCACCCGAGGCGCCTGTGGGCTGGAGGCTGAGGGCAGCAGCATAGCCCAGGGGAGCCGGGGGCGCCGGGCAGCATGGGGTCCTCCGGGTGGTCTGAGCCCCATCAGTGTCCTCGAGCCATGTTCGGCTGTGCAGGGCAGGTGCTGAGCCAGGGGAGGGACAGAGGGTCCCCCTCAGCCGTCGCACTCACTGACAAGGGGAGAGGCCAGCGTCCTGCGGCGTTGGAAGATGATCATGGGCCACAGATGGCAGGAGCTGGCGGCTCGGCCACCCGTACCTGCTCATGCCTGGCTCTCCCCCGGCTGGCCTTCTGCACCTGGTCCCACCCGGAGCCTGCCATGTGGGGCCACTGCCAGATGCGCCTCCCCTGCCCCCCACAGCGCCCCAGGTTCCTGGGCCTCGGGTGGCATTGTGGCCGTCTGACGACGCTCTTGTCTCTTGCAGTGTCCCACAGGCCCGGGGCCTTCAAGGCTGAGCTGTCCAAGCTGGTGATCGTGGCCAAGGCCGCCCACAGTGAGCTGTGACCACCCACCAGGCGCCGGGTCTCTCCCGCTGGAGGAGCCGGGGCCCGGCCCGGTGCTGGCTCTGCAGGAGCTCTGGTCCCCCCCTGTGCCCCGGGGACCCCGCAGCTGGCACAGAGTCCCACCTCTACCACACACTGGCCCCCAGGGCCAGAACGGCTGGTCCCCATAACCAGAGGGCTCTTCTGAGGCCAGCCTGCGTCCCTGTGGGGCCCCGCCAGGCACGGGAGCCATGTGCTCCCTCTGAACCCCCCGAGCACCCGGCTCCAGGACCACCCTCCCGACAGCCGGGGAGGGACAGACTGTTCTTTTGTATTTAAATAAATAAAACCAATAAAAAGCAGCCCGTGGACAGCCCCTGGCACCTACGGCCCTCCCTGCCGGACGTGGCCCGCCTGGTCATGGCATCTCCAGAGTGGACTCCCTGGGATGAAGCTCTGGCCTCGCCACTGCAGGTGGACGGCAGGACACTGGCCCCTCGCCCAGCCCTGGCGCAGGATGCCCACACACTGGTGCTGGGGCAGCGCTCCTGGCCCAGGGCTGGTTGGTTATTGGAAGTTGGGTCACAGCAAAGGAGAGCGGCGTCCCCTCCCTGGCCACGCCCCTTGGCCACTGCGCTCCCAGCACAGGGCCTCGGCCCAGGCCTGACCTCTGGCCCCTGCTGCCGGCAGAGGAGACCGCTGAGGCCTGCTCCCGCTCCCTTGGGCCAGCCCTGGAGGTGACATTGCTGTCCCCCTGTGCAGCGCCCGAGCATGTGGGGCACCTGCCCACACCTGGAAGATGCAGAGCAAGGTGGCCCTAGACCTGTAGGTCTCCTGAGAGGAGGTCCCTGGACCCCAGGAGCGGCCTCCAGAGGGCGGTGCTAAAGGGTCCGTCCCAGGGGCCTCTGGGGGGTGACCCTCCACACTGGGGGCAGGGGCTGCCGCAGCCTGTGCAGGACAGCTGAGAGCTGATGGCCACCCCTAGGACACAGGACCGGGGGTGCCCTGTGCAGGGACAGCCACAGCCTCTAAATCAGACTGGCCGCGCGTCTGAGTGGAGCTGAGGTGAATCCCAAGTCGCGGCCCGTCGTGCCCTGCAGCCGTGCATGTGACCAGTGGGGCAGAAATGGAACTCGTCACCCAGGGCCACAGACATGGCCTTCACAGCAACCTCAGCTGGAGAGAAGCGCAGCGGCACAGGGGCTGATGGCGCCAGGAGCGTGTCCTGGTCCACGTCACGCACAGGCTCTGCGCTCTCCAGGGCCTGAACTAAGTCTCAGGTTCCTGGAGTGGACAGGCAGCGGGGCAGCCCGCCATGGCCTGTCCGGCTCAGCCTGGGGCTTCTTGGGGACACCAGGGTGGGCCCCTGCCCTGGTGTTAGAGGGTCCCCTCGGCAGGCAGAGGCAGGAGCTGCTCTCAGCAAAAGCTCTGGGTGGGGGAGCGGAAGCCATGCCCCGAGGGCCACCCTGAACTTGGCTCTGACCGCGGCAGCGGGCAGCAGGAGAGCCAGGGTCTGGAGGAGCAGGTGTCCCCTGCAGGGCTCCGCAGGTGGCACGGTGCCCGGACGAGGCTCTGGAGCCCTGTGTGGCTCCTGCTTCCGTGGTGGCAGCTGGTATGGACTCCCCAGGTGCCAGGCAGCCCCGCCCCGCCCACCCGGCCTGGGGGGGCACAGGCACCTGTTGCCACCTTCACCCTCAATGCCAGGCTTGCCCGTCCCAGGCACCCGACAGCTGGTGGAGACAGCCTGGCCTCCCAGCGGGCACACGCAGGTGTCTCCACCCCACCTGTGCACGGCCAGGCCAGGCCTCTGCTGACCACGGACCTGGGCCTGCTGCGTGTGGCCACGCTGTCCCGGCCGCACCCAGCCCTGCAGTCCCGGAAAGAAAATGTTGATTTCCATCATGAAATTATGATTAAAGGACACGCTCAGATGGCTTTGCCCCACCCCAAGTCGGGGATGAACTTTGTCCTGGCCTCCGGAGTTGGCCAGCGGTCCTCAGCACCTTGTTTTGTTGAAATGTCACCTTGCTGTGCCTCCACGATCACCTGATGTCCTCGCTTGTGCGTCTGGGCCCACGTTCCCCATATGGGGACAGCGCTGACAGGGACACCCCTTCCAGAGGCGGCCCCTCCCAGGGCCAGGGGGAACGTGGACTGGGGGACAGTTTGACCCGTTGCACCCTTTCCTTCAGTGACCTGCTTGGGTGACTGGTGTCCAGCACCAGGACCGGGAAGCCCTGCTTTGGAAACCCATGCAGTGGTTTGAGGGGAGCAGGCGGGTGGCCTGCGGTCAGCCCAGGACGTGGAACGGGGAGGACCACAGATGGCCTGAGCAGGCAGTGGCTCTGGGCGGGAAGCACCTGGGCCTGATGGGCGCCTGCCTATCACACAGGGTGGGGAGGAGGGCGCCACGGGTCCTGGGAGCTGCTGCTGCAGGAGCCGGGACGGGTGGCCCAGCGCGTTTGGCTGGAGGGACAGGGTCGGGCCGAGTCTCGGACGCCGCCCGGGGGTCAGATGCTGTCCTCGTCCAGCAGCCTGCCGAGGCCCTCGCAGATCCTGCGGAGGTGGGAGCGGTAGGGCTCAGCCGGGCCGTAGAGCGCGGCCAGGAAGTCGCAGTTGGCTACGTGGCTGAAGACGTGGTTGATGCGGCCGTGGGACTTGGCGGTCAGGTGCGGGCCGGCGGCCTGGTGCAGCAGGTCACGGCACTCCTGCAGCCCGGCCACCAGCACGCGCCGGTCGAAGGTGAAGGCCACCTGGTGGAAGCTGAGCGCGGTCAGGGCCAGGCCGCGGGCCCTCTGGCGGAAGCGCCCCAGTAGCTCCACCTCGCGGCTGCCCAGCTGCCCGGCGCGCAGCAGCACGCCCAGCTTCACGACCACCTTGACCAGGTTCTTCACCACCTTCTGCGCCTCCTTGCGGCTGCGCGTGAACTCCTTGGTGGCCCGGTACAGCTCGTCCAGCACCTGGCTGCTGGTGTCGTCCAGGAGCACGGCCACCGTGGCCTTGGACGCCATCTTGCTCAGGACCTTCTTCTGGGCCTGCAGGGCCAGACTCTTGGTGCTGAAGGTGTCCATGGGCCCTGCTGGGGCAGACAGACCACGCGTCAGCCGCCCCGCCTCGAGTGCCCGCTGCCCTTCCCGTCTGGGGACGCCTGGGCGGGGAGGGCTGTGGACACACAGCCCCAGCAGACCCTGAGGGGCACAGGGGCATCTGTCTCCTTAAAAAGAGTTAGAGTGTTGGAGTCAAAGGAAGGACTGCGGAATGGTGGACCGGGAAGGCCTTCCAACTGCGCCGTCCACAGCGCCCGCGGCAGCCCCCCAAAGCCCCTGCGCCCGGCCGTGAGCTGAGGGGCTCAGGGCGAGTGGCGGCGGGATCCTGGCCCCTGTCCCGCCCCCCACTACCCAGTCCCCTCCCGCAGCTCGATGAGAGGGACCTGGTGAGCAGCCCCCTTGCCCCAGCCCCCTCCCTGCAGGGCCAAGACAGACAGACGGACAGCTGGACAGAGAGCTTGGAGGCTGCAGGGTCAGAACAGGCTGCGGGCAGCCCCCGGGCAGTGGGCTCTGCGCTGCTCCCACTTCCCACTGCTGCCCGCCAGGGCCCAGGCGACGGCCAGGTGCGGCGGGCCAGCTCTGGGGAGCAGGGTCTCTGTCCGGTCCTTCGTGCCAGCGGCCCTGGGGCTCCCCCTGACCGACCAGCTGCAGGGCTGGCCTCGCCCTTCTGCTGGAGACCAGCGGGCAGCTCCGCAGGCCCAGGGCTGCCGCCTCCCTGGGTGACCCTGAGTACCTCCCAAGGCCCAGGCCCAGGCCCAGCCCCTGCCCTCCCTGGAGACCACCCCAGGAAGCCGTCCTGAGCCCCAGGAGGGTGAGGCCCTCCTCTGAGCAGTGGCGCCCACGGGTCCCCTTCTCCACTGTGTCCTTAGAGACTCCAGAACCTTCTGCCTGAAGAGCCAGGAGGAGGGGCAGCGTGTGACCCACCCCCAGGGCCCTGGTCCCCTCCTGCACCACCCCAGGGCCAGCCAGGCCAGGATGCCAGGCAGCCCCAGCCCCTGGAGTCCCCCAAAGCCTTTCTTTGTGCCAGCTCAGGCCCCAGGAGGCGGCCCGGCCGCAGCCGCCCTCAGAGGTCAGGGCAGGCCTTCCCTGCCCCCGCCTCTCACTGGACCCTGCTCTCCACAGGCCAGGCCAGTGCCCTTGACCCAGTGCCACGTGGCAGCCACATGCACCGTGCCACTATTCCTACCAGCTGCTGGGTTGGTGGCCCATCCTGCAGAAAAGGGACAGGCTCAGAGAGGCTGAGCTGCCCACCCAGGACCACACAGCGAGACGCCACCGGCTGCCTCAGACCCTCGGAATCCAGCCCCCTGCATTCCCTGATGCCCACAAAGGGTCCTGAGGCTTGGAGGTCAGGAGTGTCCCCTGCCACTGAAGGCCTGCTCCCCCTGGCCTCCGGGGCACGCGGCACAACTCCCTGAGTCTCAGTCCCCATCCCCAAGATGCAGACAACTGGAACCAGCTTTGTCCTGGGCAGAGGCTGTGGTCAAGGCAGCGTCCCCGGGGCCACATCCCAGCGCTTGGGCCTCTGGGCACAGGCTGCTCTGGAGAGAGCAGCCGGGGCTTCAGCTGGCCACCTGGCCTGAAGGCCTGCCCCTCCTCCTGCCGTCTTCTCTAGAACATTCCCCTCCCTCCACCTGGAACTCCCCTCCCCCAGCAGCCAGCGAAGTCACTGTCCCGGGTGCCCTGGGCACCTGCCGTCGAAGCCCCAGTGCCTTGGTTCTGTGTTCCCTGCCGGGAACAGCACGGGGGACAGGAAGCCAGCAAACACCGGGACCGGAACCCGGGCTGCAGGGACAGGCGAGGGCACGGGGCCTTCCTCTGCCTCCAGGAAGGAGGCCCAGGAGCCCCCGTCCTCCTGCCCACCTCAGAGGCTGTGCGCCCCTGGGTGGAGCCCCGCCCTTCTCTGGGCCTCGACGGCCCACCTGCAAGTCTGAAGTTGGTTCGAGGGGAGCTGGGCCGTGGGCAGGCGTCAGGAGGGGCCAGTCCCAGAAGCACCCCCCACGGGGAGAGGGGCCGAGGACAGAGCAGCTGCGGCCTCCCCTGGACCTAGGACACCTGGGGCAGCCGGCTGCGCGGCCTCCCCTCCTCCTCCCTGACCCATTGTTCTAGAGAGTCCCCCACCACCAGACAGGCAAGTGGCCACTCTCCCAGGGGACAGGGCTATGGACCAAAATAACCCAGGCCTTCCTTCCTGCAGGAGGCAGGGGCCACCAGCCGCAGGCAGAGCCTCCCCTGGGGCCTCTCCCCAGCACCAGCGTCCCTGGTCCCTGCTCACCAACCACTGCCCCATGTCATTGTGAGCCAAGGCAGCGCGCTGCAGCTTCAGGAACTTGGCTCACCACTCACTCAGTGGCTCAAAAAGCCTTTATGGAGCACCAACTGTGTACAAGGCACCAGGAACACGGCAAGCACCAAAAGAGACCCTGTCCCTGCCTTCCCAACGTCCCAGTCCCCCCGAGGTGGGGTCCTGGGCAGCAGCACCTGCCCTCCGCCACCGTAAGGTGAGACCAGGAGGGCAGAGCGGGGGCCGGCGCATCCCGAGGCCGGCCTTCACCCAGCACCAAACCAACCCCCATGAAGGGACTCACCCGGCGCGGTCCACGCACACCGAGCACCGTCTGGCCACCAGCAGGAGCAGGGTGCACTATGGATGGACCTGAGGACCTTGTGTTCGGTGACAGCAGACACACAAGGCCACAGCGTGTGACCCAGTGACAAAAATGCCAGGACAGGGGGGGTCCGGAGACGAGTTGTGGACCTGTGGGTGCAGGGCTGGGGGAAGCTCGTGGGGCAGGCGCCTTTTGTGGTGATGGAAGGTTCTGGAACTCGACAGAGGTGGTGGCTGCACAATCTCGTGAACCCCTGAACTGGAGGCTGAAGTGGCGAGTTCTGTGGCCTGGGAATCCCGTCTCACTGGGCTGATCACTTAACGTCCGTGCCCTTACTGTGTTTTACAACTCACTCTATAAAACGACCAATAATCCCAGGAGCCGGGCACGGTGGGCCACGCCTGTCATCCCCCGGCTCGGGAGGCTGAGGCAGGAGGACCGCGGTTCAAAGCCAGCCTCAGCGATGGCGAGATGGAAAGCAACTCAGGGAGACCCTGTCTCTAAACAAAACGCAAAACAGGGCTGGGCAGTGGCTCAGGGGAGAAGTGCCCCCGAGTTCGATCCCCGGTGTCAAAAAAGAAAAATAAATAAATAAGTAAATCTAAGGAATCAAAAATCAGAATTTGACCCAAACTGTAATTCAGAAAAAAAAAAAAGAAAAAGAAACTATTACACAAACTGAGGTTTGTAAATGGCTTCCCTGTTGCCAGGCGCACAGTGGGGCTCAATACGTGTTTCATTAAAGGGAAATTTCCCTCCTAAAAGGCTGGTGGCCCTTGCTGATGGGACAGTGAGTTCCGGTGGCCCCGTGTGGCTAACCCCATCCCAGGACAGTCCAGCTCCCGCCTCAGGGGCCACACTGCAGGACTGTCCTCAATCTCTGAGCCACGCACAGGCCGCCTGGACGTGGTGGAACCGAGAGGCTGCTCTGAGCATGGCTGGATGCCCGGGGTCCCTGCCCCTGCCCGCCACAGGCAGAACATCCTGTTTTTCTCACACAGAGAGGACCCTGCACATGTTTTTCCCCATCCCGGGGTCTGACCCCAGGGTGCTCTGCACTGGCCACACCCAGCCCTCTTCACGTTTTGAGACAGGTCTTGCTCAGTTGCCGGGGCTGGCCTCAGGCACGTCAAGAGTTGGCAGGAGGGCTGGGGAGGTGGCTCAGCGGTAAGCGCTCGCCTGGCGTGCGGGGCGCTGGGTTCGATCCTCAGCACCACATAAAATAAAGATGTGTGTCCACCGAAAACTGAAAAATAAATATTAAAAATTCTCTCTCTCTCTTAAAAAAAAATAAAGCAGCTGTGAGTGACACACCTACTTAAAAAAAATTAAAAAGTGGCAAACTGTGATCCCCTGCCTGTTTTGTCAATAAAGTTTTTTGGTTTTTTTGGCTTTTTGGGTCCTGGGGATTGAACTCGGGGCCCTCGACCACCAAGCCCCACCCGCAGCCCTATTTTGTATTTTATTTAGAGACGGGTCTCACTGAGCTGCGTAGGGCCTCACCATTGCTGAGGCTGGCTTTGAACTCACCATCCTCCTGCCTCAGCCTCCCAAGCCACTGGGATGACGGGTGTGCGCCACCGTGCCAGGCAGCCAATGAAGTTTCACTGGCACTCAGGCACACCCCTTCATTCCCACAGTGGTCGCCACACGACGATCTACTGTGTGGCCCTCTCTAAAACACCTGCCAGCCCTGGTCTAGACACCCAGCAGAAGAGTGAAACGAGCCCGCCGTGTGTCCTCGGCCGATTCCCACGGTGTAGGTCGCCCTCGTCGGCCCAGTGCGGCCTGCTAACTGGGTATCAGGGATCACCGCTGGAGGTGACGCCTGTCACTGCCACCGAACACCGAGAACCTCCGGAGCAGGGAGCGGCCACGTGCTGCGAGGTAGTGGGAAGTCCCTGTCTAAACACTCGCCCCTCTTGCTCTTTCATGTCACAGCACATTGAACAGGGTCCCCGCACTCAGAACTCCCGCACCCAGAGCTCCGATTCCGTGGGACTCACACGCCGGCCGAGCTGTGCGACCATCGCTTCTACCTTGTGCCAGAACATTCCGTCGTCCCAAAAGGAGCCCGCCCCAGGAGCAGCCCCGCCCCCAGCCCTGCACCCAGGGGTCCCCGTGCCACCTGTGCACTCTTCTGTCATGTCCGTCTCCCTCACCGGGTGACACCTTGTGCGTCGGGCCCTCACTGGTCCTCAGGGCCACCCACGTCCCCCTGGGTCACCTCACTCCTCTCTGTTCCCTGCCTTTACCCTCTTTCCTGGGGGGCTGGCGGGCTCTGCGCTCCTGGGCCGCACCCAGCCCCCTTTATTTTAACAGAATCTATGTCCTGGGGCGCATGTTCCGTCATTTCTAACAACCGCGTGTTTAACGACGAGATGGCAGAGTGCCTGCCAACCCAGCAGTGGCCCCGTACAATGGCTGCCACGTGTCACCACCCCGGGGCACCCCCGTCCCATGAATTCTTCATGTCCCACACAAAGGATGTCAATAATTGATGGCGGCTCAGCAGGGCCAGCCCGCCCCGCCTCTCCCTCCCAGCCCTGCTGCGGTGTCCCAGGGTGGCCTCAGCCCACCACGCCCACCCTGCCATCCACCCCTCAGGCCTTGGGAGCAGGGCCACCTGCCCTGCAGCAAGTGACAGAGGGGCCTGCCACACCTGGGGGCCACCAATGGTTCTCAAACTGGGTTCTCCGGGTCCTCAGGAGCCACCCCGAGAATGGGTGGGGTCCTCCTGCTGGCTGTCCTGGGGGCCAGGACACTCCCCACAGTGGACGTTCTCCACTGTAGAAAGCTGGGGGCCAAAATTCGACACTGGGACACCACAGCCCACCGCCAACCTGCAGGGGACAGGCTGCGGCTCGGCGTGGGCAGAAGGTCTTCAACAGCAACAGAAGCCTGAGGGCACCGCACAGGAAAGCGCCCTCAGAGGTGCCCCGGCTGGCACCCCCCTCCCCCTCCACGCCTCCATCCTGGCCCCTATGCTCTGGCCCGACTCCCTCCCACGCCAGCCAGAGGGCGCCCGGGAGCCCCGGGTCAGGCCCCTGCCTCCTCTGCCCACAGCCCTCCACCTCCCACCTCCCCAGGGCTCAAAGTCAGGTGGCCCCTGGGCCCACAAGGCCCTGCTCCTCCCGCCCAGTCCCCTCTACCTTGCACTCCCCTGCCGCAGCCACTCAGCTCCTTGCTGTGCCTCCAACAGGCCAGGCTTGTCCCGCCCCAGGGCCTTTGCACAGGCTGTACCTCTGCCTGGAGTGCTTCCCCACAGGTCTCCATGTGGCGGTTTCTTTGATGTCACTGAGGCCTCGGCTCATGTGTCACCTTCTCAGGAAGCCCTCCCAGATTCCCATTCAGACAAACGTCCCCATTTGTCTGGCCGGTTCCTCATCATGCAGCTCCAACAAATCACAGTGATTTTTCTGGAGGAGCCACAACCACTTCCCCACCCCAAGTGGAGCCAAGTGCGGGAGGGCACCACGTCCCCTTCTGTCAGCTGGGTCCCTGGTCCCTGCACCAGGTTGACTTGTCAGAGGTGCCAGGACCCACTGGTTGAATAAATAAGCAGAGGGGCACAATGTCACAGATGTCATCCAAGGGCCCCGTTGGCAGCCAGGGAGACTGAGGGCCAAGACAGACAAAGGGAGGCACCGCTGAGTAGAGGTGGCCTGGCAAGCTCCGCTGGCCCACCCTGGCCCTTGGGAGTGGGAGCTCAGGGGCAGGTGCCTTCAAGGGGCCCTTGGCGGGGACTCACGGGACTCCCACCCTCCCAGCCCCCCATCATCTCAGGCCTCTCCAGAAGGACAAGGAGACCCGTGGGGAGCTGAGGCTCGCACCCTCGCCAGAGGCACCTGAGCTAGGCCCCCTGGTGGGGTTCCAGGGAGGATGTCCAGTGCGGGCTGACCCTGTGCGGGGCAGTGGGCACACTGGTGACTGCACCAAGACCCCCGCTCCTAGGCCTCCCCCAGCACCTGGCTGCACCCCACAGCACGAGCCTTTCTGGAGCACCAGACTCTGGGTGGGTCGCTCCAGGACACCTGGAGTTCTGACCTCAGGGTACACTCTCCCGGCCCTGGACCCCCCACACTGAACCAGGCAGCAGGCAACAGCGGCCTCACTGGGCGGGAGCCTGCTCAGGCCTCGGCTGAGAAACCAGGCCCAGGGCACCCGTCCCACCTAGGGCCACTGTGGCTCCAACAGCCACCTGGCTAGTCCCTTCGCTTAGGAGCGCTTCCTGTTGTCCAGTCAGTGCGTGGTCCAGCACTCACCAGCCACTGGCCGCGCAGCCTCCGGCCAAGCCCAGGTGTCCCGGGGCTGGGCGCAGCTCCGCGTTCCTGGGTTCGCCTCCTCCACCCTCCCAGCCGCCCGCTGCTGGGCAGGTTCTGGCCCAGCCCATTTTACTCAACTTGTTACGTTTGAAAGTTGGCGCCTGTGAACCTGCCGGGCGCAGCATGGGCCATGGCCCTGAGGCTAGGCAGGTCTGCGAGGCTGGCCCCAGGGGTGGCCACAGGAGGGAGCGTGGTCCTGCGTGAAGCCCTGTCACTGTACAGAGGAAACCAAGACCTGGAGAATGAGCTACCTGTTCAAGTGCCACCGCGGCCGGCAGAGTCGGGTCTACCTGAGCTCCCCAACCACTGGGCTGCCCGGCTCAGACCCTACGGCCACCAGCTGAGCTCCTGAAGTGACCACAGAGGCCTGTTTAAGGCTGGGGCTGCTCCCCACAGGGAAGATGCTGAGGAAAGGAGAATCAGGTGGACAGCAGACTCCACCCCTGTCGCCGGTCTTCTCCTGGCCATTTTCTGGCTTCCTTCCAGGCCTCAGTTTACCCTCATGGGAAATGGGCCCAGTGAGCCACCACAGAAGAGGCCAGGAGGCCGGAGACGCAGGTCAGGATGCCTGCTAATGACCTCGGCGGCGGACAGCCCCAGTTCACTGCTAGTAACACTGAGTCCAAGGCCTCAGGCCACTGGCGAGCTTGCAGGGCCTGGCCCTGGCTGTCCTGGGTTCCTGGACCAGCCAGAACCCAACTCATTCCCACCTGCACACCTCTGGAGGCGCTGCCCACCACCCGGAAGGCCCTCCAGATCCTGAATCTGTCCAAGCACCTGCTGCCCTGCACTGTTAAAGGGGCAGAGTCCATCAAAGTCCCCAGGGGGTTGGGCACTGGTCCCAGAGCGGGTCCCCACGCCTGAGGTGAGGGCAGTTCAGATCCAATCTGTCTTCCCCTAACTCATAAGGCCCAAGAGTGCCCGAGACGGGGGGAAACTGAGGGAGGAATGCAGACAGGCAGATGTAGGGCGCAGGGACATGAGGGAGGGGGGTGGGGACATGAGGGAGTGGGGGGACAGAGGGCAGCCAGGCGAGGGGCCACCCGGCACTGCTTGCTCACCTGCTCCCCGGGGCGCTACAGTGCGATCACGATCCGTCCACCGCCTCCGTAGGGCCGGGACCTCTTTCTGCGGCTGCGGGACCTTCCCCGGAGGTTGGGGGACTGGGCGGGGCGGGCAGCTTGACCACGCCCACGGCCACGCCCCCGCTAAACTCCGCCCCCGTTCCTCTCCCTCCCGCGCGGAAGAGAACGGGGCGGGAGTTTGGTCCTGGCTCAACCAATGGAAGCGCGGGCGACGTACAAAGGGACCAATGAAAGCGAGTCTCTGCGGCGGGGAAGTGGAGGGGGCGGAGCTCGGGGCGGGGCCAGGCGCTGGGGGATTCCTCCGGAATCTCTGAGGGGCCGGATGCGGGGGCGCGGCGGCCCGGGGGGCCCCAGCCAGGGGAGGGGCGGAAGGGCAGCGAGCGAGAGAAGGGGGCGGGGGACCCCGAGGCACTGACCAGGGGAGAGCCAAAGGAAACGCACCCCACGAGGCTCTGCGCCGGCGCCGTCCACTCTGGAACCCGGCTACCCACCTGGGCAGGAGGAGTTCGGGCAGACGCGCGTCCCAGCCCGGCAGGGCGCCTTGCAAGTCGGTCACCTGGAGCCCGCAGCCCCCAGGTGCAGCCTGTTCCGTGGGAATGAGGATGAGCGTCCAGGCTGCCAGCGGGGCGGGGCGACAGGGCCAGCTGGCCCCCCAGGAGGACGCAGCTGCGAGTCCTGGGAATCGGGCCCTGGAGCGGCTCCCAGCTCTCCAGTGCGCCATTTCCTCCCCGCTCTCCTGGCCCATCTCTGGGTCCCAGTGCAGCTAGGACCTGGAAGCCGCAGCAACCACTCCGCGTCCTCCCAGTAGCCACACAACTAACGTTTGTTGAGTGCCACCCTGACAGGGGAGGCGCAGGCGGACCCTGGCACAGGGCCTCACGGGGCAAAAATAAACATCCCATTAGGGAGGCAGAAACCGAGGCTCAGAGAGGAAAGCCAACTTCCCGAGGCCACACGGGCACATGGCTGGGCCAGGATTCCAGCCCAGAGGTGCCCGGGGCTTCTCTAGCATCCCGAGCCTCCCCCAGCCCCTCCACCGGCGTGGCCTGCCCTCTCCCTAGCTCCACTTCTGGGCCTGGTCACTCTTGCTTATGGCCACCCTTCCTGACATTTTAGAGTGGCCAGCAGCACCCCTGGCTTCCTCGCACTCCGTGCCAGGAGCACCCCAGGCCCCTCCAGGTCGTGATAACCAAAAAATGTCCCCTGGCACTGCTGGGTGTCCCCTGCAGGGCAGTTGCACTGGTAGGGGGGGATTCTTTACGCCCCCAGGCCACAAACTTCATGGGGTGCCCGAGCAGAGGGGCTGTTTCTAGCATCTCCTCACATCAAAGAAAATGGCTTCACTAAGTCTGGGATGGGTGCCTGAGGGCGCCGAGTGACTGAGGTGGGTTCAGGGACAGTTTTGTGGGCTGTGCTCTCTGCAGTGGTCGGCGGCACCTGGCACGGGCAGGACACGGCTCACTCACCTCAGAGCTCTGCCATCACCTGCCTGCCCGAGTTTGCGTCTCTGAGCCTCAGTGTCCCCACCCATGTGACGTGAGAATAAAAAGCCTTCGGGTCCTCAAATGAGGCAGGGGATCTAAAAAGTGCCCTAAGGACGCAGAGAGAGGGGAGCCCTCGTACTGCAGCTGGGCGGCAGAACGGTGTGGCCACACTAGGACAATGGCCAGTCCTCCAAAGCTGGGCAGAGTCACCACCACCCACTGCTGGGTGGTGCCCACGGAAGTCAAAGGCAGGACCCGGGTACCTACCTACTGTGTGCGGTGTTAATAGCAGCACTGGGCCCTGGAGCCAGAGGGAGCCAGAGGAGGGCGGCCTCTGCCTGCCGCTGGGGGGTGGACCCACACTCAGCTCCGCCCTCGCTGGGCTCCTCAGCCTTGAAAAGGAAAGGAATTCTGACACCGGACACGGTGGGTGAAGCTTGGAAACATCATGCTGAGTGACATGCACCAGACACAGAGGGACCCTGCAGCCTCCACCCCAGGAGGTCCCTGGAGTGTCAGAGCCACCGAGATGACTTGGGGAAGCAGCGAGATGGGTGCAGGGCAGGAGGGGACAGAGCTGGTGTTGGAGGGGCACAGCCTCAGCCTGGGGAGACGAGGAAGCCCTGGAGGTGGGCAGTGGGGACAGCTACGCGGCAGTGCCACTGTGCCTGATGCCCCCTGGGGGGACCCTGGAGGCAGGATGTTTCGCCATGTGCTGTGCTGGGGACAAACCCAGGACACTACACTGAGCTCCATCCCAACCTCTTTTTTAAGTTTTATTTTGAGACAGGGATTTGCTAAGTTACCCAGTCTGGCCTTGAACTTAAGATCCTCCTGCCTCAGCCTCCCGAGGCACGAGGACTACAGGTGTGGCCACTGCTGTGGGCTGCTTGGCTCTAGCACCTCTTGTCCACACTTTGCTTTAGTTCATCTTGACCAGGCCTCCTCCTTGAGACCATCAGGTCCGCCACAGGGACAAAAGGACAGACACCCTCGAGAGGCCTTTGACAGCTGGGCACAATGTCTGTCCGAAAGTCAGTGCTGCCAGCTTGGTCATCCTTAAGTTTGTCCCACCTGCTTGGTCCCCTTCAAGACTGATGACATCAAGAAAAGAGTAACTAAGGTGGTCCCAGGATTTGCAGGGACATTCAGCTGTCCCTGGAGCAAGGCCGGGACGACCCAGCCATTGCCCTCACCTTCCAGGAGCAGCAGGGCCTGGCAGCAGGTCCCCCCATGGCGGGACCTGGAGCTGGCCCTGAGCGGGACCAGTCCCTCCTGGGATGGTGGGCCCAGCGATGACCGCCTGCAGTCCGTGGAGATTCACCGCAGGCCCCAGCCACATCAGATCCCAGGGAATGGAGACCCCGTGCCCCCAACACAAGGGCAGCCTGAGCCCTCAGGGAGGCCCCTCCCATGGATCCAAGGCCCCTATTTAGGTTTTGGCTACATCCTACACTGTCTTGTCTTATTGTCACTGGGTCAGAAGTTCTCTGGGATCATTTCATGTCACATTTCACAGATGACAAAGAGGCCCAGAGAGAACAAGTGATTTGTCCAGGGCCACACAGCCAGAGGCTTGCAGGGGTGGATTAGGGCCTCATGGGATCTGACTCCAAGTGAGGGTCCAGCCCTGGGGCAGCTGCATCCTGGGGGTCCCCCGCTGGGCAAGGGGGGGGGGGGGGGGAGGAGCAGGGAAGCATAGTGAGTGGGTCTGGGTTCCGTGTGCAGCTGAGGGGACTGGGCTCAGAGCACGAGGGTTCTGGGGGGGAATGATCTTTCCTGGCCAGGTGGCCCTGGGTCCGGGATCTGGCCCACTGGGGTTGGGACTCGGGCCAGGCCCTGCTCTGCTGGGGCTGGGGCCAGTGCCGCCCAGAGCTGAGGTTCAGAGGGGGCTCAGCCCATGTCGGGCGCCCTGGGATCAGGATCCGCCTGCAGTGGGGGCTTCCACGGGGGTGGGAGCTCAGCCCAGAGTCGGCCCAGCCGGCGACAGGGTGCTCTGCGCGGACCTGGGGACGCTACCTCAGTTCAGCTCAGCCACTGGCGGTGCTGGGCCGCGGCGCGCCACTCCCGGCCGCTCCCGGCAGGGGGCGCGCTCTGCACGGAACCCGGGGCTGGCGGCGCCCGCGCTCCCGGGAAGGGGCCGCGACCCTGGGCTCGCCAGGCCCGCACCCCGAGGCCGCGCCGCGCACCCCACGAGGCTTGCGATCTGGAGCCTGCGACCGCCTTCGGAGCCTCTGCCCTGCGCCTGCGCAGGGGGACGGCGCTGGGCGCGGAGGGGTCTGGGGTCCCTCCCTGGCCCCCGGCCTTGGCTCTGCGGTGCCCGCGGGGAGCCGGTCGGGGACCCCGGAGCCCACGTCCCCGGGCCGCCTCGCTCCCAGGCAGGGAGACCCTCCAGGGCCACCGGAGAGGAGACCCGGGAGAGGGAGGGAGCTAACTCTGCCGGGGTCCCCCCACTGCAGGCCAGGACAGGGGGTGTCAAGGGACTGTCCCAGGGCACTGGTGAGGCCGCTGTCACTCCCAGGACCAGGGGCGGGCTTAGGTTTGGGGCGCACTGCTGTTGTTCCCTGTCCCCCCACTCACCCCACCCCCTGCTGTCTGAGAAGCCGTCTGGGGAGACACTTTGCAAGTGTCGGTCACAGATGCCAGCCCGCCTGCGCCTGCGAGTGGGAGGCAGGCGTCTGGGGACATAAATGGCCGTGCGCCCAGCCAGGGTGTACGGGATTGGTGGGGAGGGCAGCGCGGTCTGCCACGGTGTTGGAGGGTAGCGACCCCGACAGCCTGGGCGGCAGGGCAATTGCTTTGGGAGCCTGTCCTCTGGAAGATGGGTACAGGGACAGTGCCAGGGCGGGATTCGGCGCACTACCTCCAGGAGCCTAGGGAGGACCAGGGGCTGGGTGGGGGCACCCGGCAGGCGGGGAGCCCAGACTGGGTACCTGACTAGGGAGCAGGCATGTCACCTGAGCTCCTGGCCAGCTCTGCCCAGGGGCTGCTCCCACGAAGGCTGGCTCTGGGGACAGAACCCAGCCCTGGGAGTTGATCTGAACCTGGAGAAGCACAGCTGGGGTCTACCATGGGCCAGTACGAGAGGCGAGACCTCAAACGCCAAGCCAGTGGGGGGCAGCACACTGAGTCCTGGAAGGAGACGGAATTCTGAAGCCCCCTGATCCAGCTGTTCCTGAAGTCCCTGGACTTTATAGCTTGAACCACTGGATGAAACCAAGGAACCCCTCATAAAACTTTACAGGATGTGTGCAGAGGGGGTGGGGGGTCAGGAAAGACGCTCCCTGGCCCCAAGAGCTCCCTGGAATAAAACCCTTAAAACCGCATTTACTGCTTCATTCCACGCGCACCCCTAAGCCCACCCCCCTTGTGTGTGGGCCTTGCACACAGAGTACAACTCCAGGCTGGAGGAGGCAGGGTCCAGCACAGACCCCCAAGCGGGGGACACACAGAACTCAGGGGACAGAGAGGGGGAGGAGGCATCTGTGGGAGTCCGGGTGGACTTCAGGGAGAAGGCCACGTGGCAGCTGGGGCTGGGGAAGGGTCCTTGGGTAATCTGCCCTTGACCTTGCAGTC